GCTTAAGTGACGAAATAGAGGGCAGTAAATTCTCTTCCAAAAGGTTTTGATACCTTGCAGCATTGATAGAACCATCCACAAACTGCATACCACCAACACCTTGTGCAGACATGCAGCCCCATATCATAAGAGACGCCGGAAACTTCACTTTGCGTTTTTCAGTATGAAATGCCTCATTTTTGTTCCGAATCACTTTTTTCCTTTCATCGCCGACTGCCACTTCAAATTTGGACTCGTCACTCCGAATACTACGCCACTGATCGGAAGTCCAATTTAAATGATCACGAGCAAAGTTTAACCTCTTTTTCTTTTGTACAGCAGTCAACAGTGGTTTCTCCTTAGCGGTGTAAAATCCGTAACCCATTCTTTTTAGGATCTTTTGCAAGTATCAACTGCGACGTCTTTGTGAATCATGTCCTTCTATTGCACCGTGACTTCTCCAGCTCGAGCACGACGATTATTTTTGATAATTTTCTTTAGGATTCTGTTTTCTACTGCACTTGTGATGCGTGGTCGACCAGTTTTCTTCAAACGAGAAGTCATTCTATTCTTTTTATAGTGCTGAATGATAGATTGGACTGTAGACGTGGGAAGTATCAAGTCTTTAGATATTTTGTAACTTGATTTGCCAGCATCGACCCCACAAACTATTCGCTTTCAAAGCTCTTCACACGCGTGTTTGCCACGACCCATTGTTATTATTTGTTATTTGAAAACTAATGAAAAATACTGAAATTTTCAGAATTTATACTGTCTCACTTGACAAATGACAGAGAATTACTTTTACAAATTTTAATTATGCAACATAATTGTACAAAGAACTCACTCTTATTGAACTCACCGATAGACGAACTCTTTTGCATCAATTAACAATTAGACGAACTATTTTGCTTATAACTTCTTCGAATTTAAAACAGGATATGTATAAATTTGAAAGGCTAAAATAGTTTGTTGGTTCATAATTAAAAAATGGCATAAGTAACGCGACATATGATAGTAGAACAGCTTAATATTTTATGTAGATATACAAAAATAATGAAGTTAGAAAAAATCTCACAGAGAAAATTTCACACTAGACGAACTATTTTGCATCAGGGCTCGTAATACTGCATGTCACTATCTGTACTGTAATGGCATGCCTGCATGCTTTCTGTGTGCAGTCATTGCAGCATGCTTGCTTGCCCTAAGCGGTAACAAAAAGTTAAGCTTTTGGTTAACACTTAGGAGATACCCTCTTAAACTCTCATGATAACTGGCACGAGAGTGTTTTTCTAGAGCTAGAAGCGACACAGATATGTTCTAGAGAATCCCAAGGTTGTATTAACAAAAAATCTTCTCTGCCTACAAAGTCCATAAAGGTCAAAGAAGGTTGTGCCATTATACTTACTCCGTACAAACTTCGGAAGACACCATCACAAACCATAACTGACGTACCTTGATAGCTGACAGTTTGACGTGTCATTAAATGTTAATCTCGTCGTCTATACACTCCAAAAAGAACCACTCTTAAGTCTAAATGCGGTAACCGAAGTCCACAACCAACGCCGAACGCGGTCACCGTGACGATCAAGTTGATGTGAAATAAACTGACACTAGGCTCTCCGAACCATGGTCTCTAGAGTGAGAGGCTTCCTATGGCAATAACCACCGCGCGGTCGTAACGTTGTTCCGTTGAGCACTCCACGCTGAGCAATCCACTAGGGATTGCTCAGCGTGGAGTGCTCACCTGTGTGTGGAGTGCAGTATCCTCGCGACAGCCTCCGCAGTGGGTACGTAGACGGCGTTGGCTCGCGGCCTGTACGACACAGGTACTTTCTGGTCATTACTTGTGTCGAGTAATGTGAGCTAAACGTTATTAGTTGTCTTTTCTGTAAAAAAAATATTTCTATTTCTATATAATGTTAAAATTCTAAAGAAAAAAGGTATAGCTGACTTGAGAAAGCACTTGTTTAAGTTTTTTTTAAAGACAACTCCCGCATTAGGAATATATCCTGTGTCGCGGGTGACTTTACAAACATACATGAAACGGACACAGAGAACACCCAGACTCAGAACAAAAATTTGTGAATTACATGAAAGTGTCGTCCCATGTGGGAATCGGACCCACAACACTCGGCGTGCAGTCAATACATAAGTAGTGCAGTGCAATAAACTTGATAATTGTCACATTCCTCCGCAAAAGTAAGCCATGTCTTTGCGTGTTTTAGAACTAATGTAGGTAACTCAATGATATAAAAACGAACATTCTTTATTATGTCTTTTAACTTTTATCCTACATTCAACACAAATCATTCAACTGTCTCCATTATCATGGTGCAACATATTTACTTGGGTTGCCTATTGTTAATTAGATGATGGCAGACCACCTTTGCCACGTCTAATGGCAATTTTAGTTACATAACATCGCATTTCATCTTCTGGGAATCATAATCTAGGTTTTAAAATTTTATTTTGTAGGTCACCAATATTTAAAAACAAAGCTCCATGTTTAAAATAATCTTTTTTTAACATACAGCTAGAAAATCTATTCATAGTTGCCCCTGTGCTTCTATAAGCCTCCCTCTAAGATTGTACCGACGGGAATGGTTTCATTCTCTGCGCATCCATGTGCTTAGCGTGCTTGTTAACTCGCTTCATGTCAGATGTAAAATCGATCAAGGTTGATTGCCAATTAATCGGGGGTCTTAGAATTGCAAAGTAGTATATCTCATGATTAAATTATATGCCATATCGACTCCCATAGTGAGCATTTTACTTGAAATTTGTATGGTTGTAGCGTCATTATGATTCGTCGGCACATATGGACCAGGCTCGACCGGAGTGATACCACGGCCCCATAGAAAACACATGTCAAGCTTTTGGTGCTTTCTTTCGTTGCTTTTAACCGAGTGAGTGAGGTTCCAGGAGCCCAACCCCTCCCCTCCCCTGACTCTTTTTTTGTTCGAAACTGGTTTATTCCGAAATGGTCCTATTTAAATTTCTTATAGATCTGATAGTGAGTTTCGGACACAGACAACGAAACTCTTCAAAAAATCACAACCGAGATTCAATGGCAAATCAACCGCGATTGCTGCTAGGCTTTTAGCGCTCTCTGTTAAGTATTGTTAGAAGTCAGTTCAACTTTTCTTTTCAAGTTTAGTACTCATTTATATAAATCTAAACCTTTTTGTTTTTAAAAGACCTGCTATATCATGATACTCTGTGTCACGGATTGAAACCATAAAGGCTAAAATACTGGCCAAACTAAAGTCAAGCAAAATATACAAGTGACAGAATCAACAAAGCAAATATGACTGATAAAATGTATTTATTTCTTGATTGTAATAGCTAATATAGTAATCAGTTATAGTACCTACTATTTAAACATCGGTAACTGAAATGGCACGGTTAGTAATAACAGAATTTGTAACGATTACAGTCGCACTCGTATGCTTTTGTAAGTAAAGTGGTATTCTGATATTATGTTTTGTGACCCCCGCATTTGTGACACATGATATTTTTTGGCCACGAAACACGAATACGATATTCTACTATCGTATCTTCTAATAAATTGAAGGAGAGAGACAAACTATTTAAGGAGAGCTTTGATGAACTGCGATCTTTAATGAAGTAAAAATGTTTATGTAGTTTAATTGAGATTTATCATTACCGCAAAACTGTTAATAATATTTAAAATGATATATATCTATAATATTTAAAGTTTAATGATTCGGTCATGTTCTTAAGGTCCAATGTGTGCCCATCATAACGGAGATAAAAATCGCCAAATCGAATGTTATGCCTTGAACAAAGACCGACATACCAGACGATGAAGTCGAAAGTTCAGAAAGGTCAACTTTGCCAGATGACTGTCTTGAGTGCCAAATCAATAACCTCAAGTTTTTAGTTTGATCTAAGAATTCGCTTCAGATACCTATTATACAATTTACAATCACGTGACGAGAATTTTGAACTTTAAGTTCGAAACTTTTGTCCTTAAAATCAAACATTATTCAATACATTTAAAAATACCTCTTGAAAATAAAAGTGGTCCTACATAAAAAGAATCTTCAGTTACTTTCTTAAGTCGACTGACACTTTAATAAATCTATTTTGTTTATGAATAAGACTGAACACTTAAACGCCATGGGCTAAATCATACAATATAGTTAAAGTACGAAGGCAAATACAGTATCTAGTAACAGGAGAAGGTCATCATGTTTAATAACGCTGTATCTCGAATATCGTAATCTCGAAATATAAATAGGTAGGTTCGGTATCATTAAGAAATAAGGCCATTTTATTGTGATTGTAGTCAGTACAAAAAATGGTCTTATTGTTGACTTTTGTGTGGTGACGGATTAAGAATACGGAATGTCACCACCCCTATTCATCCTGTGGGTGTCGTAAGAGACGACTAAGGGAGCAGACTACGCAGGACAACAGCACTGCAAAGAGAAGGAAAACTTGTCACAAACCCTATACCAACTCGTCTGGCCAGCGTGGTACAGTAGGCCAAAACCTTTCTAAGGAGAGGCCTATGTCCAGCAGTGGACTATTCTGTTAATAATAAAAATTAATAGGCTGTTGATGTGTGATGTGATGTTGACTTTTAAAAAGAAGTAGATGTTTAAGAATTTGTGTGTTTTACATGGTCAGATAGTTTTGGTGCCAACTTCATTTACTACAGCTTAGAGTTTAACTCTCGATTTCGTTGTGTATGTAATGCCATAAGAATGGTTTCAGTAATGCATTGGTAATATAATCATTGTATTTCTAAAAAACTTATATATCTGTTAAGAAACAGAATACCGTAGGCGTTTAGTGTATTCGGTGTGTAGCGAGCCTAACTATGTGCGTAATATTATGTGCGTTTGTATCGAATAGCTTATCGATCACTTCAAAATACTTTCTATTTGTGATCCCAACTTTGTGTGGAATTGACGTGCCCCGCGATGTGGACTAAATTGTTTATATCGTTAACATGTTTCGTTATTTTCTGTTCTAGTCAAGTTAAAGCCATGGGTGCCTTAAGTCCTCTCGATCCGTCTTCCTTTTCACGACCTGGTAAGTTTTTATAACTTTTTTTATTTCTTGGGGGTTGAAAATGTTGCGTTCCACTACAAAAATACTGTGTTATGATTATCTATCTAGATAGATAGGTATAGCAAGATCATTAATATTTGTAACTACAAAACTCGTATGAGCTAAATTTACTTAAAAATGTCGTAATTAATTTTTATTTAGTAAAAACAAACATGTATTACTATACCTCAGTTGCGGTTATTTTATGTTGATGTTTGTTTATAAAAGTGTACGATAAATAAAGTCATAAAAATACTAATTTTTATAGCAACTTCTCAAGCTTTTAAATTCACTTGAAAGAAGCTTGCAAGAGATTTAGGCCATTCTTTTTAAATTTGGTTAAAGCTTTGATGCCAAAGCTGTAAAAAACTAATCATTTCAAAGAAGAAATAAATATTTGAAAAGAAAAATAAATTTCCCATAGACACCGTAGTCCTTTTAACAAAATTATATTATTATACACTAAATAATCAAAAATCATCCGTATCGTCAGCCTAGTTTGGGAAAAAAGGCTCGGAAGAAGGAGATTATTATATACTTGGGTAGTAATAGGCTAAAGTAAATTTTTTTTTTTGTTTATTCAAATTATAGTAGTAATCGTAAACGGTTTTTAAAAGTGGCATAATTTTTAAATACAGAAGTAGAATAATCGTGAAATTAAATAGAAGTAGAGGAACTTATACTCACTGTACTTATTAACGTGGACTTGACAATCCCTTCACATATTGCTCCCCAAAAGGGTGGGCGAGTACGCACATACCTGCACCTCTATGGATGGAAACACATACTCATTCCTGTCTCCCCAAAGTGCCAGGCGTATTAACACGCACGTTTTGTCAAATATAATTCGCCCCAGGAGTACGTTCAAGATTTTTGCCCTTTACCTGGCACTAAGAGTAAGAAATGAAGAGTGGCTGCTTACAGGAATAGGTTGGGGTAGCGTTAGCAATAGATGTAACATCAAGCATAGATGATAATGTTGCCGTTTGTGCCTGATGTCACATCTAGTCTAGATAGAAGTTAAATTCTGTGAAGAATTCATAACTGTGAGGATAAACCGTAAAAAATACCCTAAAAAATACCCTATGTTTTCAAACATAACAGTACATAATTATGTAGGTATGTGTTTATCATTAAATGTTATGTTACATTAAATTAAATCACTGTATAATTTGGGAAAAATAGGTAGAGCGGTATTCAATGCCAAATACCCAGTCAATTTATCATTACTTTGTTTGCCTTTGCATCATCGTGATTTGTGCGTGTTTCTCGATATTAATTAATATTAAATCGTTGATTCTGACCATGAATACTGACTTTGGCGATTCTTCTTTACCTGACAACCACGGCTTGCATATGGATTCCGCTCCTACTGATAACGACAACCCCCGCGATAACTTGGATTTGATGATAGTACCGACCGAAGACTTCGACATTCAACCTGGTTCTAGTTCTTCTCTGCAAAGAGCGTCTACTGCTAATATTACCAGTGGTTATATCCGCTGTGTAAATTGTAATATAAATATTTCAAGAATGCGAAGACACTCATTGGAAATTGCTGAAGTCCGATCCCTTATACAGAGATGGGTTGGACAGCTGCAGGTAAATAACTACCTACATACAAAAACCTGCAAATAGCTTTATACAACTTAACATAATCTAAACCCATATTTACTTTTATAGCAAGTTTCGAGTGATAGTTTGGTGTGTCATACATGTTGGACCAATGCATGGAATGAAATCAGGATGCCAACCAGTCAACGGTCGACTGAGCCTCTCGTTGGCCACATTCTTGTATGCATCAGCTGTGGAACTTCGCTTTTAAGGCAAAGGTCACATAGCCTTAACATTGATACACCACATTGTGAACAAATAAGGAATATTATTACCCATCAAATTGCACCACGAGAGGTAAGATAATATATATACAATATTATTGTTAGGAATATACTTTGTAAAGAGAGTATTAAGAGTGGTTACAATCAGACTTTAAATAAATAGCTGTAATGTGTCTTAGACTATGTGTGAGATAAAGTGTCTATCCAGGTAGTTGAACTATAACTATATTGTAATGTTCTAAGAATATAGAATAATAACATCTCACATATGGCTGGCTGGTTCCAAACTAGGCAGAGCCTCTATGGTGGTAACCAGACTGCTGATAAACATACTTAAATATTATTTTAAACATACATATTATACATAAATAATAAATTAAAATCTTCTCACTCGTTAACACTCTCAGCAGAGTGGTCATAGTCATCTGTCTGGCCGGTAACTCACCTCACTATCTGTTGCCACTCTTTGCATATTGATTCATTTCTACCACACTCTCTCATTCAAATAAAAGTACCTACATGGGATAGAATTCTTTGTCGAATCATGCTCTGAGGATTGTTGTTTTGCCATTTTAAGGGAAAAAAACATATCAGTTGCCTTTTTTCTTTGACAGTTGCCAAGATCAGCCCATCTTTGTCATAACTGTTGGCGAAGGACTGAAAGAGCAGCTGCTCGCTTTACTTCAGATCGGGAATCAGCAGTGTCAAGTCTCCCATCATTTAACATTGAATCTTCTCAAGTACAAGCTGAAGGAAGAAATACAACTCCATCTCATGGCTTGCAGTTGCCTAACTATATCAGAGCTCCTAGCACACAGCGACATTGTTTTTTTCCTGGATGTAATGCGTCTGACCGGCTTTTAGTACCATCCTCACTGAGAGTAAGTTTACTTTGTGACTACAATTATTATGTGCCTGCAGATTGCAGAATATGTTCAATGCACTTGAGAAGCAATTCATGGGATTTACTTCTGGATTCAATTTATGATCCTATCAGGACATTCAGTGCTGAACAAATGGAAGAACTTATTTCTTTGTTAAAAGATACACAATATAGACAATATCATACACAATAGATAGACAATATCTTAAGTATGCCAGATCATATTGTTCACTATTACTTGGGCTTTTCAAAAGAACAATTCCAGAAAGTCCCGAGGTTATTAAATAGCCATAGGGGAGCTTATGCTCTGGCAGCATATTTATTGAAATTGCGGACAGGAGATAGTAATGAACGAATTTCATCATTATTGCAAATACCAAGGAGTACACTAGAAGGTCTAATGAAGATGGCTAGAAAATTATTGTATCAAGATTTTGTTCCCAGAAATCTGGGCTTGAATCACATAACTAGAGCAGAAATTGCTCAAAGGAATCTGCTGATTCCCAATGCTTTGTATGGGGGCCCAGAGAGAACACCAATTATAATAGCTGATGGTACATACATATATATAGAAAAAAGTTCTAATTACTTGTATCAAAAACAAACATATTCATTGCATAAATACCGTAATCTGGTTAAGCCATTTTATTTATATGCAGTGATGGTTATATCATTGACGTACTGAGCCCCTATCCTGCTACAACCACAGATGCAGATATTATGAAACAAGAGTTTGGAAGTGAAAGTAGTTCTTGCCGTCAATATTTTGAACCTGGGGATGTATTTATTCTCGACAGGGGTTTTAGAGACTCATTACCGCTCCTAAGGAGTTGTGGCTATAATGTCCATATACCATTATCCCCAACAGATGGTGAACCACAATTGACAACTAGAGAAGCAAATAAATCAAGAGCTGTTACTTTATGTCGATGGGTGGTGGAAGTTGTGAATGGAATATTTAAAACTAAGTTTAAAATATTTAGGCAAACCTTTTTCAACAGAGCTTCCAAGCATCTAATGATAGATTTCTCTGTGGCTGCTGCTCTTATAAATAAATATCACACCAGATTACGAGACAGAGACGATGCCACTGAAATAATTGAAATTGTGAACAGGAATATGAACAGAAACAATGACCTTTCAGATTATGTTAGGGATCATAATCTCAATAGAGCTAGATCAGATTTCCAAAATATTAATGTTGACAGGGAAAATATAAGGGACTTTCCAAGACTAACTAATAATGAGCTAATACTGATTGCCAATACTAGTTACCAATATGGAAACTGGTCGCGAGGCTATCAAACAATACTGCTGCAATTGCATTGTTGGCCGTCGTACAGTAGGATGCTGTGCCCATGTCATGACAGTGCTATGGTTTTTTGGGGTGGGCACGGCATCAAGGTAATATTTTTCCTCCTGCTCAATTTTTGGATGATGTTTTAGTAGTGTATGATGAATGAAGGTTTAACTATTTAAATTGAGTTAGCCTGTTGCTTCGGGGATTAGTTGCGAAAATTATTAGTATATTGAAAGGAAAGGTAGATAAGGGTCGCATACCCGTTACTCGAATTGCCTTGACTATTGCCAGAATTTCTGAGCCCTCGAACGTGAGCAACTAAAAAGAAATAATAAAATTATTTTTCTTTTCTTTTTATGTTAAGTCGTGAGTGTGCAAATTATTTAAAGTGGTGTCCCTCCGTCTCAAGTACTGAGGAATACCTATAGTTATGAAATTTGAAAACGTAACAATTACGTGATTCTACATTTAATTACCTTTTTTCTAAAAATAATAAGAGCACATCATCTGTTTAACAAGCCGTGTGGGGAAGGATTAAGAATACGGAGTGTCACCGCCCCTATTCGTGAGTTGGGTGTTGTGAGAACCGACTAAGGGAGCAAACACTACAGGACAAAATCATTACAAAGAGAAGGAAAACTTGAAACAAACCCTTTTTTTTTTTACGTGTGGAACTCCCCTGGGACCGTCACCCCACCGGGGTTTGCGGCGGGGTGGTGTGTCGGACTCGGACCGACTAAAACCACACGGTGTGCCACTCTGCGCCTGTAATAGGAGGGATCCGGGAACAGCTGTTATTACGACATCCGGACCCCTCCTAGCGCCGGCCCGCTCCTGTTGCGGGCTCCGTCTCAAAATTTTCCTCTCTTTAGGCGACGTCCGGCACACGCGGACGCCGCCCCCTCGCGGCTGGCCAAACTAATGCTGTTGGAGGGGAGAACCCATCCCGTCCACCCGCGGCCACACTCAGGGCGGCATGAGGCGCAGGTGAGCGCGCCTCCGCCGCCCAAACCCTAAATCAACCCGTCTGACCAGTGTAGTATAGTAGGTCAAAACCTCCTTTCTAAGGAGAGGCCTGTGTCCAGCAACGGACTACTAAAGGCTGTTGATGATGATGATCCGTGATGATGTGGACTCATGTGACATTTAAAGGGAACACAACCACTTAGAGACAAATTCAAATAAATTGTTTTAAGTTCATGGTGATAGGCATGCCTCTATCTATACTTGAGATAAACAGGAGATTTGGTAATATAAGATACAGAATTACAAACACTTTGCCCGCTCATGCCATCTACATACATAGCAAAAAAATAAAACAAAGGATAATAGTTTTTTGACATTAAAAAATACATACAAACTTACATAGTTACGAACAAATTATACCTCTATAATCTTGGTATTGATATCCTTTTACACCCTTTCCCGTTCAATATATTTCGAATATTCCAATCTTTAATTCCCAAAGTGCCTGGTTGAAGGCAATAGGCTTGTTACGTGACTTTATACAAAGTTTTCTTCAACAAAGAAATGTCCGTGTGGTGACGGATTAAGAATACGGAGTGTCACTACCCCTATGCATCCCGTGGGTGTCGTAAGAACCGACTAAGGGAGCAAACTACAAGCAAAAAATGACTTTAGTACCAAGATATCTTTCTAATAAAAATCTTCGGATTACAAGTAATATAATATATTATAAGTAAAAGTAAGAGTTTTACAGACCCTATTTATGATATACTATAATACAATTAAAAAAAATATGTAAAAAAAATACTTCTACCTTTATTTCTCCTTATAGAACTGGCCATCATAAGACATATATCGTTAGCTCTAAATGTTGATTTCGAAAAACGAGTGCTGAACGGAGAAGCAACATTGACATTCGATGTGTTGAAGGACATCGATGATCTGGTAAGATTCATATCTCTTGTTTGGCTTACAATGACTAATAATAATACGTTACGATGTGTTGTAACTAGTATCTATTCTATCGTATCTATTCTATCTATAATGAATTCAATCAGTATTTGTGAACCTACCCACAAATTGTTTTCGCCGTGGGAGAGCCTTGCTTTTGGAGTGACTGGGCTTCACGGAAAATCGGTGTTAAGCAATTCTTTCATAGCTTTTCACCGTATGTGCGAGATTAAAGCTCCCCTTCTCCTGATTCTGGGGGAATCTTAACAGGTGGCAACGCACTTGTGACTCTTGAGTTGCGGGTGTCCATGGGCGGCGGTAGTCACTTACCACTCATAGGCAGACAATGGCACAGGGGGCACACTGCTCGTTTGCCCCCATATGCCATAATTGGCCATCCATAAATGACGTCACACAAATTTCATGATTTTATTACCATTTACATATTAATCGACATCAAATCAAACTATTGAATAAATTTGATTAATTGTAATACATAATTCAAAGTTCGCATTTTAATACTTAGATATATTAGGTTTTGAAATGTGTCTTCACAAAACTTAGGACCCCTTCCACCCCTTGTCACACAACGTGACACTTCGCCAAACCTCCCTCCCCTCTTAACGTATGATGTAATTGATGGATGGCTCCTAATTAAAAAAAAAACACCTCTGTTTGAACGACTATTCGATTATATGCATGAAATACGGCATTAATTGTTATGCGTTTCCCCTTGCTCTTTTACTGTTGTTAGGTCTCGTGCGAAACGTATACCTGATTACCTAATACTCGAAATGATATGTTTGAGTATGTTGTATTCTTAACGACAAAGTGACATATCTATATCCAGTGCCACAATTTATCAATCGCCTTGAGACTGTCAGATGATAATCTTTAAAATTGTTGAGATATAAAAAACAAAAAGGTTTTGTTTACTTATAGATCTTAAAAGAAAACAATCCTTGTTTTACCTTACGGCACAATTAAAAACGTAAATGTTTAGAATTTGAATTATGAACATAAAATAGTAGGGTATTCTAATGGAAGTTTTTTTTCAGATATTAGACGCTAGTAACCTTAAAATACATTCTATCGAGTCTGAGGGAGGGTCACAACTGCAGTACAAATTGGGTGAAAATGTTCCTAACTTTGGTTCTAAGTTGACTATTTTGTTGCCGAAACAAGCTACTATTGATGAGAGGTAAGTGAATTCTGTTAATAGATAAAATCTACGTTTGTATCAGAGGAATCATAAATAAAGAGACGCCTTCGTAGATTAGGCAAATGAGTTTTAGTCGCGTATTCGACCGTTGAATTTTTAGTGTGTCGGGTCTGGCCTTTACCTTTTGTAATAAAAGTGTTACTATACTGCAAAATTGCTACAATATCATTAAAGGAATTCTAATTCAGTTGCTTTCGACTGTTAATTGGTCACGAGCTATTGTGAAATCAAATTTAAAACAGCGTTGCTTATGTACATAATAGTTTCCTTACATCACGTATGTCGGTCATAGTAAATTTATAACCCACATTTAAAAACCAGTTAACACGGTTGCGATATTATGCCGAAAGTTATGTAACTGGCCACTGTTTTATTAGGAAATAGGTTATTCCCTGTAACAATAAATTTGAACTCCCTGTAGTCCTTGGCTGCTTATCTACTTCAAAGTATTTTTACTTTTTTGATGAGACGATGAAAGTGAGACGTGAGTGAGTGAGACGACGATGAGTATGACAGTAACTGTCAGTTAACGACCAGTTTAGCGATTCGACGTAATGTTGCTTATTCTTAACAAAAATTGGTCGAACAACGCCTTAACAATTTTGGAACACCATCGCTAATGACGCGCGTATCCTCACCCCTCTCCATGGAATCGTGGCGACCCTACTCTGCGGTAGACAAACTACTGTTTTAATTTAGTCAAACAGTTTCTGATTAATTTTATAAAGAGAACTTAGAACATTTTGCCTTCAGTGTTATTTTATATTTACTTGTTTTTCACTCACGTTTAATAATTCATTTCTTCCTCAATTACTTAAAAAACACTTTCTTTTTCTCCACAAAGAAAAAATAATTCATTGACACGTTTCATCGAAATAAAACCGCCAATTAAGAAGATCAAGCATAATAATCCTGGTACAGCATCATCTAATGTCCCAGTGGCACTTTCAATGGCATACAACGGATTCATGTACAACCCAGTTGGACCTGAATTTGAGTTCGATGAGTATTGGAGTCATGATGAAGTTAAACACAACTATAGCTGTAGATGTACGGTCGGCGCTGACAATGAATCTTGCCAAGTAGTAAACATTTCCCAACCGTCATGTAGCGCTGGATGTCGGAGAAGGTGTTTCGCTGGAACTAGGTCAGCTGTAGGATTAACACGATCTTGAATTAAATGTACATACATATGTATACTTTTATTGATGATATCCAGCAACCGATGCTCTTACGGAGTGAGTGTAACCATATGTCCTATGATTTTACTAGTGACATAGCATTCGGTATACCGTACTTTTTAATAAGCATTAGTCCTCTATTTAAAAAAAATTCAACCGCCTCTGTTGTTAAAGAGCACTTCTGCAGTTTTGTTTCGTAATTTTCATAAGTTTCACTAATGGTTTAAAGTCTGTTTTTAAATCTCGTAGACTAAACTGACATTACGAGTGTTGTCAGTTTATTGCAATTCTTAAATAGTGATGTGGCACAACCGAAACTTAGCGTTAATAAAATCAAGTATCGTTTTTTTACAATAAGTTATCCTGAAATAATGTGTTTATCCTGAAATAATATGTAGGTACTTATTTAAAACGTAATAATACAAAATTAATAATGTAAAACATATATTTTTAATTAAATAACTTAATTACAGGTATTCGCGTTAATCTGATTCAGATAATGACTCCATGTCTGAGGAACATTATGAGTCATCAGAATCGCCACCTACTTCTATGACAAACCTATCAGTAATGTCGTCGGTTATATGGCCCAGAAGACACATTTGATCTTCAATTTTAATTACATGGACTACACAGTCTTTCCACCGCTGCGGGGTCACTTGACGAAGCCCTTCTTCAAAAAGGCTTCGTACTTCATTCGTTTTGAATGTTTTATTATTTTTAGAGACATGCCCCTTTACTTGAGCCCAGACCAACTCAATCGTTCGTATTACGTATTCGTACAATTGTTCGTATGGTGTCAAGTTCCATAATTGCCGTATTTTTTAAGTTCTGCCGTTTCGTAAGAGAAAAGGGTTAAGATTGCCGTTTTAACGCGTACGGGAACAACACTGATGGCGTCTATATTTTATTTTTGTTTAATTTAAAGGCATCGAAACATGGTCGGGTTACGCATGGCGTTGCGTGGTCAGATTTCCCTGGCAGTTTGTAGCACGTCGTGCAGCCGTGTGCACGTACGTGAATTTTAAATGTAAAACTTTGAATGAAAATTAAATTCGTCTATTATAAATAAAAAGTTACGATTCAACTAACCGGTATCGTAGGTACAACACTGCACAAAAGAGCTGGCAACATTATTTGTAAATTTGACATTTGCATGTGTCAATTTAGTCTACGAGATTAAAAAACAGACTATAGCTACAAGACACTTTTTTCTGATTGTTGAGTGTCCTTGATTAATTAAAGTTTGAAAAATGATAGCGTGCATATTAGTATATAGAGATAAGTCTCATAAATTTCAGGAAGTAAACAGTATACAGTCAGTATTATCCGCGGGGTTGCCATCGATTTATGGGGAGAGGGCAGGGTTATTAACGCATATTTCCAATATCTAACAAGTCATGTGTTGTGATATCTAAGTTAATAAACCAATTTGTTAATCCCGGCAAGGGATGGTAGCTATATCGGCCTGATCGTTTTAAGACGCAGTCGGGCCGCTACGCCGCGAAATGTTTACCCCTGGGATAGGGCCTGATTAGGCATGGTGTCGATTCGGGAGAACCCGAAATAACATGGACCGGGTCCTCCCAGAGTAGGGCGCTTTTGGCTGGCCATTGGGGTGGTTTTTAGGAGAGTAGCATTATGCATAACGTTTTCTAATTCCCGTTAGGCTACCTAGACTACGTAACATTGGCAGGATTACCTGCGGGCCGCCCTTTCTATGGTAGAAGGCCGAGCTGTGTAGGTCAATATACTCGACCTGAGATGACACGGCAACATAAGTGACTTTATTTAATGCCTGTCTAGACTTTCATGTATTAGTACATTTAATAAATCTATTATACGTATACGTGTACAATATTATAAATCTTGGTAACGGTTAAAGATCTTGCAATTGAGAGGCTTCGATTCCCATCAAACGACGAGGGAGAGCCATGCTTAAGCCTGTATGTACCAAAGTAGATGGCTCAACTGGAACGATACAAGACCCTCACAGGAAACCGGTATCAAGTTGTTAAGAGTGAAGCTACCGGAGGACCATTACTCTTCCCCCCCCTTATTTAAGGTGGGAAGGGGGGAGGGTAGCTCTTGTCTCTTGTTAAGTTGTAGGTATCCTTGAGCGGCGGTAGTCACTTACCGCCAGGTCGCCAGGTGAACCGACCCGTTTCCCTCCTATTACTTAAAAGCACAAGCATTACTCATCCAGAAATATAGTGATCCCACCGTAATGATGCTGAGCTTCTTTCTTTATTTTTTATAAAAGTATCGTGGGTCTATGTTATTGGCGAATCAACAGACTTATGGAAAACAACACTTTCAACTCACTCCTTCAAGTGTTGCTGTATCATAATTTTAGTATATAACAGTATTGCTTTTGGAGTAACTGTTGTAGAAACAGAATAAGTATATAGTATAATTTCAGTATATGTATATCTATGTGTATACGGGTATATTGGTAGATTATGAAAGTTTGTTACATTTGATTTTTTATTATTTTATAGAAGCAGTTTAGCTTCTTATTAATTAGATGTAATTTGTAAAAAGTATATATTACTTAAATTATTCAATCCTTTAAGCTTGTATTGTTAATAAAACATTATTTTTCTATCGTTATTCAAATGTACCCTTTTAACACGCTTTTATTAGCTTGGTATCTATGTTTGTAACAGAATCTTCGAAGGTAATTTTGACTTACTTCAAAACGTCAAATTACATTGAAACTTTTTACACTTATCAAAGACTGATGACAATACAATCATTTGATAAATTTGGTGGATTATCCTGATCTTCAGGATTTTTTTGCATCAAAGTCACGGATCGTCCTAAAGTGAACCCAGACAAAGCGAATAGTTTTATTTCAATGGAGTAATGTTTATTATTATTTTAAAGATGCTCTAGTGCCCTACCTATTTAAGGGCCAATACTAGTTGCTTCATCTGCACCTGGGAGTTGCTATCTCACTCGTTCAATTATTTTGGTAACGCTACAACAACAGTCGTTTTAGAATAATGCACCGCCTAAAAAAGGACGAGTTTGGCTGAAATCTGGCCGTTCGCCAACAATAATTTTTTGACAACTCCCGCACTAGGAATATATGTATCCTGTATCGTAGGGGAATTTACAAACGCAAATGAAACGGACACAAAGAACTCAGAAAAACAATTTGTGGATCACTCTAAGTATTGTCAGATGTGGGAATCGAACCCACAACACTCGGCTCAGTAAAAAGCGGTAGTGTGACCGCTTAATCCACCACGCCATCCGTGCAGTCAATTGAACCACTATGTTACGCCATATTTTCTGACTAAGTACTAAGTAATATTAAGCTCTGTGTAGAAGTCCTTTAAAGTCGTAGCCATCATGAATATCGAGAGAATGATAGTAATAAGGTAAAGCTGTGTAATGATTTTCACCTTTACAGACTTAAGATAAAAATAAAATATACGACGGACCCTTCAGCGTCAGCTTTGCAATGGTTGGATGCAGCACAAACTTCGGGAAAGAAACATCCTTACATGTTCAGCCAATGTCAGGTAAATTCTTAAAATCTTAACTAATATCACAAAGTGTTCGTTTATTTGTTACACTTTTACGTTTCAATTACTGAATTCTTCATCATACAATTTTTTATTCAATTGACTCTGTCTATTTTGTCTGTTTGATTTTGTTATCTTGGTATATAAGTACGCTTTCAAGTAAGTGTATTACATTCATATGTGTAGTTTAATTGTTTTTAGTGGGAGTCTCACTTAGTCCACACATTTTAAATCCTTGGTGGGACATGAGCTGTTTTATACTGCAAACTAAATAATATCATACGTAGTTTTTACTTTAGGAATGCCAGTCACGTAAGCATGTAATTAGGCGCTTGTGGCCTCTATCTATGTAACTGTAACTATCTGACGACTGTAACACAATTTACATTAGTACGGTCGTCAACGACGAACTCTTAAATCATTGAATGTATTTGTTTGATTAAATTTGTAATTTGTAACTATATCATAGTGTCGTCTTTAAGCGCAATCGATATTGAACTTTATTCATTTACAGCCAGAGTTTCTTTTTATTTAAAATGTCTATTAAATTGTAACAAGTTCTACTTAAATTGTGCCTTTATATAGGATTTTATTGTAAGATATTTAAGGTAGCTAACTATATACTGCTAATAGTTTTTCCCCACAATACAAGTTATTAAATGCTAAATGTGTAAGTGAAGATGATGATGATAAAATGTGTTTGGCTGTTGTTTGACCTTTTGTTGTCTATTGAATATCTGAACGTTAAAAGGCGTAATTGCTAATGCAATATTTACAAATAAAGTTTTTGTGGCTTGCCAATTACCGTGTTTAGTACCGATAACGAATCATACCCGATCATATGAAAATAACTAATTAAAAATAGTAAATTTAACTAATGGTAATAATTTATTACCATTATACCCTTATTACCCTTAATATTACCCTTAACCAACCATATTTATTACTAATAAATATGATTGGTTAATGGTAATATTAAGGTTAAGAAGTAGAAAAAAGAAGGAGAACAGAAAAACAACATGGTTATAATTTATTTCCAGCCAATCCACGCTCGTTCAATCCTGCCATGCCAAGACACACCTGCTGTAAAGTTCACATACGACGCGGAGGTGACAGCTCCCGAAGAGTTTACAGTGCTGATGAGTGCATTAAGAGGTGAAGTGAGAGGCAGCAAAACTACATTCAAGCAACCCATGCCACTACCGTCTTATTTGGTAGCAATCGCTGTTGGTGTGTTGGAGTCACGAACACTGGGACCTAGGTATGACTAACGACTTGTTTATTTAAAAAGAAAAAAACTTGGATCAGACCATAATTTAAAGTTATTGAAACCTAAATGGAGTCGTTTTAGAATTATATACTGAATAAAAATTCAAAAATATTAATTCTGATTGAAATACGTTTGTGGTCACAAATACGTTTGGCGGTGGTGATCACTTTCCATCACTCATATGCATGTTTGCGCCGTATATCATAAAAAATAACTTTTTTTCTGATAAGGTAGAACTGCTAAAATAAATATTTAGTGTTTTTTACTTACACTCGCTATTCGTTTAATTAAAAAAATAGTATGTTACTACTAATTAAATTAACAGAATTAAAGTAACACGTAAAAATGAAAAAAAACGAATTTAAAGATCGAATGTTATACATAAATAATAAAACACTAATGTTTTAGATCGAAAGTATGGTCGGAAAAAGAAGAGATAGAGCGTAGCGTGTGGGAGTTCGCGGAAACAGAGAAGTACCTGCAGGCGGCGGAGCGGCTGTGCGGCCCTTACGAGTGGACGCAGTACGACCTGCTCGTGCTGCCGCCCTCCTTCCCCTACGGCGGCATGGAGAACCCTTGCCTCACATTTGTCACTCCTACTTTGTTGGTCAGTCACCCACTTACTCTATATAGATATCTTGTTTATCATTTTGTGATATTAGTATTACGAAAATATATTCTAAATATTTTTGGATTTAAGTGTAAATCCGTTTAACCCTTAGAAGGAAGTGAAGAGTGATTTAAAGCTTAAGGATATTTGGTTTTAAAACGAAATAAAATAAATACTTTTGATACTTGGCTATTATCAAATCACTAATTATTTCATTATAACAACAGAACATACCGTATTGAAAATCTGAGTTGACAGAGTCAACTATCGGATTCTTTACATTCTTCTTTGACAAGTATTTTTTAAACTTAGGCAGGCGATAGAAGTCAGGCTGACGTCATAGTACACGAAATAATGCATAGCTGGACCGGCAACTTGGTGACGAACAGGAACTTCGAACACTTCTGGCTTAATGAGGGATTCACCGTCTATTTGGAGAGGAAAGTCGCCGCGTCTCTCATTAACGACACGAGTGAAGCTAAGAGAAGCCGCGACTTCCACAGCTTGTTGGGTCTTCAGGAGTTGAGCGAAACGGTGAGACTTTGCTGTAACTATGAAGGTTGTTGTTGAAAGTAAACATTGTCTCTAGTAGTAGATAGTATCGCCTTATATCTGATATACATTGCACTGAACATACTTCGGTTATAAACTTTAAAAACTGTCGCCACTCAGTGAGGCAGTATTAGCAATGCCCAGTTAGTAATAAGTAATAAATTATCCATACTTAAAGTGTACCGGCTCTTTTGTCACTTGGATTTTGAGTGTACGACTTTTATCGGGCAATTGTAGTTGTATATTGATTGTCCTGTAATATATCCTTGAATATCTTGAATTTACTTCTGTATATATTTAAAAAAAAATAGTACAATATTGTTTTATATATTATTAGCAATATATTGATTTAGAAATATTATGTGATTAAGAATTTAAAATTTCATCGTCTAGGCGGACCTCTTCTGTATATTCATTCACTAATTTAAATTCATGCTAGAGTTTTATTTAATAGTGTACTTCTTCCTCGGCATGATGATAGTTTCCATAAGATAGACTCATTACTTTCATATGAGGCCCTTTATCTCATACATTGCAGATTGAGCTCTTCAGTCCATCTAATGCCCTCACCAAACTGGTGGTGGACTTAGACGGGGTGCACCCAGACGACTCGTTCTCGCGGGTGCCCTACGAGAAGGGCTCTCTCTTCTTGCGTTACTTAGAAGACTTAATGGGAGGACCGGGTGAGTCTAAATCCTTGATTATTCTATGTATTATAGGTAGACGATGCTCTGGGACCTGAAAATCCGTTAACAAAGTTGGTGGTGGATCTTCATAATGTACACCCTGATGACGCGTTTTCCACTGTGCCTTATGAAAAGGGATCACTGTTTTTGAGGTATTTGGAAGACCTGTTTGGAGGGCCTGGTGAGTAATTTTTCTAATATGTAAACTGAAAAATAATATTAGAGTTGTTTAATGGAGCCCAACAGGTTTAAAGGTATATGTTTTTAAGATATGGAAGGCACTAACAATAAAAGTCTTGCTTTGAATTACTTGTAGTTGAGTTAAATACTTTATTAAAGATTTTTAGACAAAAGACATAATTTCTGCAAATTTTGATACGAAATTCAAAATAAGATTTTGAATCTTTCGAGTATACTTTTAATATGATTTTATTTTATGTCTTTCAGAGGTGTTTGACGATTTTCTCCGTTCGTACCTAACAAAGTTCAGAAAACAGTCTTTGGATACTGATCAGTTTAAAGCATATTTAATGGACTACTTCAAGAATGACGACAGGTTGCAAAATGTTGACTGGCAGGCGTGGTTGGACAAGAGTGGCATGCCACCTATTATTCCTGAGTATGATCTTTTTCTATATTTCCGGGATCAAAATCATCATTTAGGTCTTATTTTGTTTGCAATCAAAAATTGGCGAAAAATACCACAAATGTGTTGAGATTTTATGGACTATCAAAGGGTTGTAAAACAGATAATAAAACATTATTTTACCGTTGTCAACCCTATATTTTCCCTCTCATCATCCCCCCACTATAAACTTATTTTTTTATTGTGTTGGGCCTAGATACCTCACCTGTTAAGATTGTAACAAGTAATCTAGTGCTTTCACCATCAAATACTTGGTACATAATTTTGTACCATTAAAAATATGGAGTGTCCTCACCCCTATTCATCCAATGGATGTCGTAAGAACCGACTAAAGGAGCAAGAGACTAAGGACAACACCACTGCAAAGAGAAAGAAAACGTTATACAAAGAGCCGCCGCCCACACCGGTGCACCGTACAGTGCCATTGACCGGACAACCCCCGTGTACAGCCGTCTTGTCGCGACGCTGGTTCCGCCCAAATTGGGCAAAAGTCGCCCTAGGGCAGACCAGCTTTGGAGCAAGCTGTCGGAAGTGCTCGTAGAAGAGCCACCTCCCGTCGAGGATCAGGCCCAGATATTTCATCTGGGCCCGAACCGGTACGAGGTTGACCACGATTGAGGCGCCAGGGGGTGGACCACGACGGGGCCCATGAAATCGACGGGGCCCTTTTTTTTTTTTTTTTTTTTTTACGTGTGGGAATCCCCTCCGACCGTCACCCCGCCGGGGCTCTCGTTCAGCGGGGGCGGTGTGTCGGACTCGAACCGACTAAAACCACACGGTGTGCCCTCATTGCGCTTCCAGTTTAGGAAGGGTCCAGGTAGCTATCTCCTTCTGGACCCCTCCCAGCGCCGGCCCGCTCCTGGCGCGGGATCCGTCTCAGTGGACCCTCTCTTTAGGCGGCGTCCGGCACACGCGGACGCCGCCCCCTCGCGGCTGGCCAACTAATGCGGGTGGAGGGGAGAACCCATCCCGTCCACCCGCGGCCACACTCAGGGCGGCATGAGGCGCAGGTGAGCGCGCCTCCGCCGCCCGGTTCGCCGGCGGCGGATCAGGTCCGAGTGGAGGTCGTCCTCCCAGGCCTTCTCCGCCGCCTCCTTCTGCGAGATTACCTCCTCGCAGAAGGTTGCGACCGCGGTAAAACAACTGTCGCTACCGGCCATGGAGCGAATTACGGCCGGTAGCGAGAGATCTGCTCCGATGACTGCAGTGAGGGTCCGGCGCTGCGTCGCCCATGCGGGGCAAACCGCCAGCGTGGGCTGGGCCGAATCCGCACCGCAGTCGCAGTGGTGGCGGGCGGGACTCGATTCCCTCCTAGCGACCGAGTAAAGGTGCTTTCCGAAGCAACCGTGCCCGGAAAGCACCTGCGTCAGCCGGAAGGAAAGGGTCCCGTGCTGCCGCCCTGCCCACTCGGCGATGACCGGCTGGAGAGCCTCCACGGCGGCGAAGCCAGCGCGTGAAGTCTCCAGCCGGAACGACCATCTCACCATAGTGGCTCGGCGAGCGGCTTCGCGCCACTCGCGCACGTCTTCGGGCGGAGGGCGAAATCCGCTCTCCGCCCGGAAGTCAGCCACTCGCCGATAAACTTCGGCGAGCACTTCCGCCTCCAAATCCCACGAGGGTGTTCCGGCCAAGGCGCAAGCCGCCTCGGTGGACACCGTGCGGTATCCGCGTATGGCTCTGACCGCCAATATCCTCTGGGGGCGCCAGAGGCGCGCCCTATTCGGGGCGGTCAGAGCCGCCACCCACACCGGTGCACCATAAAGCGCCATGGACCGGACAACCCCCGCGTACAGCCGCCTCGTGGGAACACTGGCCCCGCCCAAATTGGGCAAAAGTCGCCCTAGGGCGGAGGCAGTGTCCACCAGCTTCGGACCAAGCTGTCGGAAGTGCTCGTCGAAGAGCCACCTACCGTCTAGGACCAGACCCAGGTACCTCATCTGGGCCCGGACCGGTACGAGGACCGAGCCGACCTCGATTGAGGCGCCGGCGGGCGGACCACGACGGGGCCCATGAAATAATAGGGCCTCCGTCTTATCCAGGGCCACCCGCAAACCCAACGCCTGAATGCGCCCAACCACCAGGGAAACTCCCGTGGCGGCCAGGCGCGCCGCCTCCTGGAAGTTAGCCCCCCGGGCCGTGACTAAAGTGTCATCGGCGTAGCAGAGTACACCCAGCCCGGGGGGGAGACGCCCTCGTAGGGCCCAGTCGTATCCGATGTTCCACAGGAGTGGTCCTAAGACAGACCCCTGCGGAACACCGCACGACATGGCCCTGCGTCTCAAGACGCCATCTCGGTCCTCGTACATGACGGTTCGCTCCTCAAGATAGTCTGCCACCAGCCGCCTCAGGTACTCCGGCACTCCGTGGTAGCGGAGCGCTTCCCTGATGCCCTATAACAAACCCGTATGACCAGCTTATTATAGTAGGTCAACCTCCTTCCTTAGTAGAGGCTTATTTCCAATAGTGAAGTATTAAACGCTGCTGATGTAATACTTAATTTCGTATTTTTTGCAGCTATGACACAACAATGACGAAGGAGATCGTGGCTTTGGTAGCTAAGCTCGACAGCCCAAAAGTGAAGTTTTCGTACGGAGACGTAAAAAAGTTTACTCCGCATCAAATGATCCACTTCCTTCAGCAACTCCTTGAGAGGCCTCCTATGTCGCTTGAACATGTTCGTAGTATGGGAAAGGCATATAAAGTGGACAACAGTAAGAACACTGAAATCCAGTACAGGTAAGTCTCTTTATATTGGTTTTATACTATCAAGTTAAGGCCCTGGGCAGACGACAGTGGCATTTTTTTCTGTGCGGAAATCCTCTCGGATACGAGTGGGGCGATAATGTTGGATTCGAACAAACTAAAAATCGCACGCCTTTTCCGCTATCACTAGCCGGGAAACCAGGTGTACCTTAGAAGGATTGGAATTATGTACTAAGTTTTTATATTCATGAGCCAGGTATAAACAATTTCCTTTCGGCCGATCCACGAGTGAAATATTTCAGATAATGCCTCGTGATAGATAGCTGCGGTTCCGTGCGTAGGTTTAGGACAGGTAGCCTCCCGCTTACGTAGAATAAAAAATAAATTTTAGTCACAAATACTGATACAGAATTTATGAAATCAGTACTAACCTTATATTTCAAATTAAAAAAAAAAACAGCAGTAGGCATGGTGGTCGTGAATACGTTAGTTGATTACATAGAATCCACCATTTCTCTATTTTGCCGGTTTAAGCCCTTACATTTGAGCTTTTTCCTGCTTAAGTTAGCTGCGTTGGATGAAAGCTAGATAATAATAAGAATTATATCAAAAATATTGATTAATTTGTTGCAGATGGTTGAGGTTATGCGTCAAAAGCAAGGATGACAGTAAGCTCAGTGAGGTGTTCAATTTTGTCAACGGTAACGGCCGTATGAAATATGTTCGACCTTTGTACAGAGATCTTTACGCCTGGGAGGCAGTCCGTGACCAAGCAATAGATAATTTCCTCAAAAACGAGAAAAATATGATGCATGTATCGGCATACACCCTTAGGAAGGATCTCCATCTAAGTGTAACTTCTGTTTAGTATTTTTTTTTACATGAATGTATGATATTGTAACTATAATTTATACGCCATAATATTGAATGGAATAAAATAATATTTTATGATGTTTTATTTCTGTTTTATTTTCTACTCATCATGCTACATTAGACCATAATGGATTCTAACTAATAGTCTATTCAAGTCAGACCAAAAAAAGGGGGGGGTAGCCTTGCATAAATTCTCAAGAAGCTGAATTTTTGCATGAACGTTAGGGATACCATTATAATGAAATTGCGAAAATTCTCCATCGATCCCAAAATTGAGAAATTTTGTTTTGCACACAGGATCAATGGGGACTTTTCACAATTTCAGTATAATCACTAATCAATATTTTGACTGGATTAAAACTTCGCCGGGTCCTCGAGGAGTGAAGGGAAAGACTTGGGCAACTTGAGGATTAGCTTGAGGGAAAACCTCATGAATTTCTCATACCGGCTCACGCAGAGTTGCGTGCAGTGGGTTGCAAACCATTGACGTGGCCAGAGCGTAGACAATACTCTGCTATAATACTCAGCGTGGGTGGAGCAGAGGCGTGGCCTCGTCACGGCCATCGCCTCTTCCTACTATACCACGCTAGCCAGACGGGGTGGTTATTTGGCCAGTCGGCTATTACGACACCCATGGGATGACTAGGGGTGGTGAAACTCGCGTCTTCATAATCCGTTACTACATGGAATTATGTATTAACAAGAAATAATATATTTTCTCAAGCGCTATTTCAGTTCTAGAGAAACACATATTTTAGTAATAGAAAAAAAATGTGCCAGTTCCCGACCTACCTAAGTTACCATAGATACATTAGTGATTGAGCCCATTTTTTTCCTTTTTGGTTTTTTACTCTGTGGTTTATGTGTTCAAGAATAATAATAATACAATAATATATACTTATTAATATGTGCAGTCAGATTGATTTATTATATTATACACATACATGTTATAAATATTTAAAGGTGTAGGCTTTGTAGATAAGTGTCCGTATAAATATTTACTTTGTAGACATTTTGTATTTTATATCATGTCCTTTTAAGAAATCGCAATGTGTACCTGTATGTCTATCATAAAAGCATACGTGTTTTATTTAAAAATGTATTTTGTCTACGCGGTACACAAAGCTTCGAGTGTATTACAAGGGTAAGTCTTTAAAACCAATATTTTTGTGGTAGGTAATTTTATATCTTATGCGCTTTTTGTCTCATCGTAATCTCAGTCAAGTGTGGATGAAGTACTTATTTCCACACTTGACTATACCTACATCATGTTATTGTACAATACAATACAAATACAGACATATATCATACTATTACAATAAATATTACTTTTAAAAAAGATAGGTAGATCTAGGTTTATGACCTACCAGGAAAGACAAAAATAAATAAAGGACCACTCTGAGTCTAAATGCGGAAACCGAAGCCCACAACCAATACCAATACCAGGAAAGAATTTTAGAACAGTTATGCGTCATCAGAAATTACATACTATGTTCAGCTGATAGTTCTGTCCCAGTCCTATTGTCCTATTAATTAATTTATTTATTTATTTATTGATAGGAAACTCAACAGCTTTTTACATTATACATTCATATTTACAATAAATTAAATTCTTAGGCCTATTACAGAGTTTCACGACATTCGCTATATAAAACTAGAAAATAAAGTATCTTATAACATTACACTAATAATAAAAAACATAAATCATACAATAAATAAACAATAATCATTAAATCAAATTATATTAAATTAAATCAAATCAAACGGAATCAAATCAAATTAAACTTACATTCAACTAAAATATAAAATAATCAGAATTAAACCGAACCAACTTGATCTGATCAAAAAAATAAATCAAACCAGACTGAACCAAATTACGTCTAACTGACTCAAATAACAATACAATAAAACAATAAGAAATCAATTGAGAAATGAACTTTATCTACCTATTTTATCTATCCATCCATTTACTAGCGAGTATACTCGCGATTTGTTTCCGATATGACTCCTTGTTCAAATTAAATATATCTATTCCCTCAAAGTCTCCCGTATAAACGCGAGGTAGTCGTGTCATTACAGCATTACTACCATAATTAGTGCGGTGATTAGGTATATTAAATAAGTGGGTGTGTCTAGTACGACGCTTTGGTGTACAGAACCGTATACATGATAGGAGATCACTACAATCAAGTTCACCACGTAGGATATCAAAAAGTAGAAGCATATCCAGCATCTTACGTCTATCATCAAGAGGAAGAAGGTGATAGTGTCTACAGTCTACGGAATAAGAGGCATGACGTTTCCCAGACTGACCTAATGAACAATAAACATTATTTTACTAGTTCTGTGAGAATTTGTTTCTTACTGAATATATAATATGTTTTAACTTACCTGCGAATATTCAAATTTGATAATTTCTAAGACTTAAATGGCCTTATCTTTTAAATGCGTCGATTTATAAGCTAGATATTTTTACAGCTTAAAGAGACCAACTATATGTACCTACACGTATTCCTGAAAACGGCTCTTGACAGTCACAAGACAACTTAATGATCCTATAAGGATATTAAGATTCTATTTTTCCGTACCTCAAAAGGAAAAAAACGGAACCCTTATAGGATCACTTTGTTGTCCGGCTGACTGTCTGTCAAGACTCTTTACCTCGGGAACGCCAGGAGGTATCAGGTGGAAATTTAAACCATATTTTAGGGACTACGGTCCCTAGAAGCTGTTAAATAATCAAACTGCTAAGTTAACGGATAAAAAAGATTTCGTCACTCAAGGGAATCAAAATTCATAGGGTACTACTTCCCATTGGCTTATAACTCTAAAATTTGGCAAGTAACATCATTTTATACTAGGGGAGACCGAGGGGATTTGAAACAAAGGTGATTTGTTCAGTTCGCGTCGGTGGCGTAAGTCGCGCGGTTGTGAAGATCTGGGTGCCATGTGACAAAAATCGTCAAAAGTAAGTTTTTAACGCCTTTTTACGATGCCTATATTTTGATAAGGGTTTTGTATTTTGGTTTAAGTTATATATGTTTCGAAGGCTCATTAACTAAAGACTAATTATATATATTTGGTACTATTGATTTCTGAGTATTTGCTTCTTGGTTGTGGATTAAATAAAAATTGGGAGGTTTTTTCTTACTGAGGAAATTTGAAACAGGCTGTTGCAACTCTCCTCGTTTTCAATTTCATATCAGTATTTTACATGATTCTCGTACACCAAGTCCATCAATCTTAAATTTACCGGCTACTCCTCCTCAAATCAGCTACGAAACAGAAGACGTACCCAAGTCTGCAGAAGATGCTGATACTATCACAATGCCTTCAACCACTGGATCTATAGCTGTAGCATCTACATCACGAGATACTTCAGTTACTGTGACAGCAATTCCATTCTCACCTGAAACTCTTAGACCCTTGCCAAAGGCGCCACCAAGGAAAGGAAATCAAACACATAGACGCAAAGTGAAATCCGCTATCTTAACCAACACTCCTGTAAAGGATGAACAAGCTGCAATCGAGGCACCTAGAACGGCTAAGAAAAAGATAAAAAAACTTAACTTTGAAGAAGTAAAAACAAGAAAAAGATCCAAACTAGGTACTAAAACTAAAAAGATCAAGGATCAGTGAAGATAAAGAAGAATCCTTTTGCCTTTGTTGTTTAGAGCCATATTAAAATAGCAGAGCCAAAGAAAAATGGGTGTTATGTCTGATATGCAAAAACTGGGCTCATGAAGCTTGCACTGGTGTTGAACTTTCTTATGTTTGCCTCAACTGCTTCTCTGACTGATCTTTTTTAATTTTATAATATTTTTATTTTTGACATTTGTGAGATTATTGTAACTTAAATATTTGAAGACTGATTGTAATACTTATGAAATGAGTAAGAGTTAATAATTATTTTATGGCAAAGATATATATATGTATATAATTAAAGAATGTAAAACATTTCGTTTATCTGACTGGTATTTTATTTAATGTTATGAATAGGACGTTATGGTACTTTTAACTACTTTAAGAGTTGTTTATTTCTATTAACCTTTAGTTACCTACTTAACTGATATATCAGTACAAAATATTAATAAAAAAGTTTGTTTCGTACTTGAAAAGTTTTATTTTAATAAATACCTTTAAATTATATCATAATTTTTATTTTACTGCCCTTAATACTTCTCAAAATCATATGTTTCAACTTTCCTCGGCCCCTGTTTCATCTTATCTCGGTATGAGGGGAGTTGAAACAAGTTGACTTGTTACGGTTAAGTCGATTTTTCACCACAATATTTAAGGCTTACAATTTCTTTGTGTTAGCCATTCGCAAGTGTAAAGAATGACCTATCGATTGGTACTAATATCATACGATTTCTGTCTATAGTATTTGGTGTATGAAACAAAATGTCAAAATTGTTTCAACTCCCCTCGGTCTCCCCTACAAGTACACCGAAAAATTTGAAAACTATATATTTGTAAATAAATCATAATAAATATAGTCTTTCTTTTATAAAACTCAATAATATAAGTAATTATAGGTTTTGGAAACTGAATTTCGGGCAAAGCTTGGCAACTCGCACTTGTTCGGATTTTTTCATTTAAGAAACCTCTTTTTTCCCTCTGTCCACTAAAATCACTTTTTGTGCACTTTCATATCTACTTTATTACACTCAACAGATTTTTAAGAGATATGGATCTTTTAGGATATACTAGTTTCGAAAAATCCATTATAAGTTGGTATACGAGGAACGCTTTTCTTTCACTTTCTATTGCAATTTTATTGACAGTACAGAAAAAATAAATCGATTTTTTTTTAACCTATAAATTTATTTATTTTTTTCTAGGAAATGCGAACAGATATTCCAGTAACTAACTGCATTTGGGCATTCATAATAAACTCGTCATATTTCATTTGATAACGAGATCTTTTTCTTGTAACTATTAAATTAATATTAGTACATGATACTTCTTTGAAGTAGATTTGTATATCGCTAGTAAAAAGGAAGTTAAAGGGATTTTTCGAAACTTGCATATCCTAGAAGATCCATTTCTCGTAAACATCTGTTGAGGGTATTAAAGTAGACATGAAAGTGCACAAAAATCCATCATGGATCTTTTCAATGGATTTTAGTGGCCATATTGACTTTTTTCAACAGGAAAAGAGCCAAACAAATTAGGCAAATGTATTTTTTTTTTTACAAACAAAATCAAAATTGCATTTTCATTGTTTACATATAGGTATAACTATTGCCCATCTACTTTAACTACACTTTTTAGGGTTCCGTACTTAAACTGTCCCTCCGTCTGTCTGCCTATCCGTCTGTCATCTGGCTGTATCTCATGAACAGTAATAGTTAGACAGTTGAAACTTTCACAGATGACGTATTTCTGTTGCTGCTATAACAACAAATACTAAAAACAGAATAAAATAAATACTCGTATTTAAGGGGGCACCCATACAACAAAGGTGATTTTCTTGCTCGTTTTTGCTGGATAGGTATTAATAACGGCAACAGGTAGACGCTTAAAATATTCACAGAATATTTAGTTATATATTCACTTTAAAATTAAATAAATAAGTTAAAATAAAACAAACATTAAAGGGCTCCCATACAACAAACATGTTTTATAATATTAACAATTTTTTTTCGGTCTTAATAACGAAAACAGGTAGAAAAACAACAAATACTAAAACAGAATAAAATAAATATTTAAGTGGGTCTCCCATACAACAGTCATGGTTTTTTTTGCCGTTTTTATGGATAATGGTATGAAACCCTTCGTGCGCGAGTCCGGCCGGTTTTTTCACAATTTTATATGTATGAGTATCTATATTGAGCACTGCATAGCGTAGCTTCCCATCTGACCTGTTCAACCTTACTGTGTTTAGAGACTGTCGCGGCATTCCGATGTTGAAACAATATTTCGATAATTTCCAATACGATAGACAGATCATTTCTGTTCGGCATCGTGCTCCGAACTGACGTGTTTCACGATGGAAATAAGATCTATTCTATTGTTATCGTGTGTTATGATATTTTTTTATAGACCCACGAAATGCATGGGTGCCTTGAGTCCTCTTGATCCGTCATCTTATTCACGGCCCGGTGAGTGTTTGATTATATTGTTAACAATTTAAATTTATCTTAGTTACGATTCTCGTTTTTAATAAAGACTCAGCATAATTAATCAGTGGTGATGTAGTGAGTTACGTAGAAGTACAAACAAATAGTTAACTTTCAAAAAGTCATGACGAATTATAATCAACTGTATTCTTCATTCGTTAATTGTTCACCCTGGAGGTGTGTGTTTTGTTCTAATATGCATGGGACCAAACAGGACCAAGCATTTTCCAAAACCTGAAAGCCGGAGTTCTGTGGTACCAAACAAAAAAAAATACAGCAGGATTTAGAACCTGTTTTAGAAGTCGGTTAGAAAGTGGAGTAAGTAGGTAGGTACATTCTTTTGGAACTGGTTAAAGCTAAATCAAATAACAAATTGTAATGTATAACGACTTATAAACTATCATGTAATTATAGTTACATTTATTATCTCTGTGTGATTGTAAGGTATATGCACTATTTTAATCCTTATACCTATTTGTAAAGAATAGTGCGTTTCCTAAATGAAAAGTAATTATGACAAATAAAAATAGAATTAGGTAGATATATCTTATCCTTTGTGCTTAACAGGTGATGGTACAAAGAAACAATATGGTACAACGAAAGCGTAAACAAATAAACAAACATACCTACTATTTGTTTACGATTTCATTGTACCGTATAATTAGAGCGTTTAGTCGTTGTTGTCTCTACTGTTGCAAATATACGCGTAGGCGTATTTGGTTGTTATGATTCGTTAAGTGTGTGCCAGGGTTTGTGATTTAGACCTTTGCATTTTATTTTAAATAAATATTTCAAATGTGTATAAAAAGTAAAGTTATCATAATGGCACTAATATTCAAGAGTCTGAAATCAGGTACAGGTCATCATCACCTTTAAATAAGTGTGTATAAATACGAGTATTTGGATATATAAGTAATAAGCTTATAAATCTAAATAAGGTAGGTCACCTGGTCTCATTTCTTTCCAGATCCTTAAAAATTAGGATAACTTTTCGCGTTTCCACGCATAGTTTTAGGTTGTTCTTAGCAAAAACTAAGAAGAAAATTATCTACCGCTAAAACATAGTACATCATACCTCTTAACTACAGAGCTGGCGATTATAAGACATATATCTCTATCGTTAAGTGTTGATTTCGACAATCAAGTACTGAACGGTGAAGCAACGTTAAATTTGGATGTACTGGCAGACATTGCAGATTTGGTAAGACCATTTTCAAACTGATACATACGTATAGATACTGTTATTTATCACAGATCATTATTAGTTTAATGATCCTTATATTTAATTTATCAAATATTCGTCTTATTGTTATCTACTGATGATACGGAGACGGTTTTCGAGATATAAGATTACCTACAAAGCAATCTTATAGGTCATATTTCTACGACATTATTTATGAATCGACTACGATACGACTACAGCTTTCATAGTTATTAACCTTTGGTATGCTTTTAAGAGCAGATCTGCTCCAAGGCTCTCGATGCTTTGGTGCAGATATGCACCAATCGGACAACATTCATGTTTTGCAATTTTTTGCTTAAACACATAAATTAAAGGTTTAAAACTGTTTTAATTCGACCAATGAATGAATGAACCATAAACAAAGGTCAGTCACCTTTCTTGTTAAAAAAATATCAAGAAAACTTAGTTGAAACAAAAACCATTTAGAAATAGGGTCAGTTGTGGCACGGTATACCTAATTACGGTAACAGGCCCAGGCCCAGTAAAATATTAAATTAAACAAATTTTACAAATGAAATATAATGTACTTTCCTTTCAGCCATTAGATATCAGTAATCTTAAAATACATTCGATAGACACTGAAGCAGGGACACAATTACAGTACAAATTGGGTGAACATGTTCCAAACTATGGCGCGAATCTGATAGTGTCTTTGCCTAAGCAATTCACTCGGGGCGAAAAGTAAGTTTGTTTAGTTTTTATTGAAATGACATTTTAATTTTCTGGCAGATGGTCTTTTAGTCCTGGGCACAATAACTTTATACATTTATTGTGAAAATCTAGTATTTACTCAATAAAGTTAAAACATTGTACCGTTGTCCTGTCTTTGAAATAGAAAACAGTCATCATCACACCAGCCTTTAATAGTCCACTGCTGGACATAGGCCTCTCCTTAGAAAAGGAGGATTTGGCCTACTGTACCACGCTGGCCAGACAGGTTGGCATAGGGTTTGTGTCAAGTTTTCCTTCTTTTTGCAGTGGTGGTGACCTACGTAGAAAACAGTACTTGTTATTATTTCTTAATTTCCGTATTTTAAAACAAAAAGTAGCCAAAACTGTTCAGGCGTTCGAAAGTAATGTGCTTTTCGACAAACAGTTTTATTTTATATGCCTACATTCAATAGATGGCTTGTAAAGCTTAGTTCTTACTTTACATTGCTGCAGAAGACTTACTCTCAAATAAACGTCGATCTTTGATTTGCTATGGTAAACTCATCACATGCTCAAAAACGAAAACGTGGGCAGACAACTGGACATTAAGAGCGCTCTAAATGTGGATTTTCTTTTAATTTTTCGGGTTATTGTTACCTCAAAAAATATTATAATATTTATATGATATCACACTGTATAGCAGCAATTCTCTGTGACTTTTAAAACAAAATTTATACTTTACTTTTATTATACACACTTAACATTTGTTTGTGCTTATTTTACAGGCTCAAAATAAGGATAAAGTACACAACAGACCCAACAGCGTCAGCTTTGACATGGCTGAAGGCGCCTCAAACCTTAGACAAGAAATATCCTTATGTATTTAGTCAGTCTTCAGTGAGTAACCTTTTAACTCATCTTATGAAAGTTTACAAAAAATGGGACATAAACAAAGTGAGTGTTCGGGTTCGATCCCCACATGGGACGACACTTTGTGTGATCCACAAATTGTGATGTGAAGTCTTGATGTTCTTTATCCGTTTCATGTATGTTTGTAAAGTCTCCCGCGACACAGGATATATTCCTAATAAGGGAGTTGTCTTTTTAAAAAACAAGAAGAACCAAAGTTGATGCACGACTACCCTATTTCTATGCCATTGTCATACCGATCTAGGACCGAATGCAAAAGCGATGTTCAAGGTTTTGGCAATCACATGCACTATGCCGCAATGGTTTTTGTGAGGAAATTATGTCACCATAACTATTGAGGCAAAGGTAATCTCAATTACATTATGAGTATGAGTTAAAGTCATTGAACTCGATTTTACAGCCAATTCATGCTCGTTCTATCTTGCCATGCCAAGACACTCCTGCTGTCAAGTTCACATACGACGCAGAGGTGACAGCACCTGACGGGTTTACGGTACTCATGAGCGCTCTAAGAGGTGAAGTAAGCCACAACAAGACAAAGTTCAATCAACCAGTACCTATACCATCTAATTTGTTTGCCATTACTGTGGGCGCTCTGGATCATAGGCCGCTAGGCCCAAGGTAAAGTATCCGATATAGTCTAGTGATAAAGCTGGATCATTTTTGTGTTTGTACTACATTACGTGCAGATGACGTACTACAAAGCATTTTTATGTGATATGTAGATAATATCACTACAAATTACGCTATTAATTAAATTTTGTTTTTCGCCATACTTTATAATCCTAGATTACCCGGCATAAACTTTAATTCAACTACACACAGGTTATATATATTGAATCAAAAATTATACCGGTTGAAACCTAAATGTAACCGAACACTAAAAACTATATTTTTCAGATCAAACGTATGGTCGGAAAATGGTGACGTAGTCCGTAGTGCAATTGAGTTTGAGGATACTGAGAAATTTCTTCGAGCTGCTGAAAAGATATGTGGACCTTACAACTGGACGCAGTACGACCTTCTTGTTTTACCTCCGTCGTTTCCGCACGGTGCTATGGAGAACCCTTGTCTCACTTTCGTGAGCCCTACTATTGTGGTAAGTGAAACTTAAAATTTTCCTAAAAAGGTTTGCCAGAATTGCACTATTAGTATAGCAGTTTATTTTGTATTAAACCCGAAAGAGTTTTTAGTTACAGATTACCTACTCAAACCATGCAAGGTTGATGATGAAATTGTGGTGAAAACGTAATCATTTAAGGGCCTCTTTTTGTTTAACGATTACGGTCCAATTAACTTTTAAAACACCTTGATATTTCTGTACATTTCGATACGCCACTCGATTGATTTGAAGAAAAAAAAAGTAGAGAAATAAAATGGCCAAAACTATTCAATAGATTTAAATTTTGATAAACTTTGAGTGTCACTTGTATAATTAAGATGAATCTAACGACAACTTTCAAGCTAGGCTAGCCGTTTGGATTTAAAGAACGTGTCAAAGAAATATACATATACACATGCCTACTTTGGCAAACCAGAATCCTGGCGCAGTTGGATTAAATAAGTCACCTACTTATGTGTCATGTGAAACACCTGCCATATTGATTGGGCCGATAGGCGGGGGTAGCCTGCTTCCCCTGGGATAGCGCCTGGCTTGGCGCGCCAGCGATCCGGGCGGGGGGCCTGAATTAACATTTTCGGGGTCCTTCCTATTGCAGGGTGCCTGAGACCGGCTATCGGGGTGGTTTTTAGTGGAAACACCATATACTCCTGGATTCTGAGTCCCCTAGGAATTGAAGATCCGAAGAAATTTTCTACCCCGTCAACAAAAGAAAGGTGTCATAGACAATCTATATCAATCTATCCATGTCTTAATCTATATCATAAGGACAAGATTACATAATAAGTAATTCGTTTAAGAAAAACAAGATAAACTTGTGTTGCAAATACACATATTTAATACAATGTAAATACAGGGCAGAATAATGTTTTCTTGAACCAGATGTATGCCATAAAATGATAATGAATATCGCTGTTGACGGACAACAGACAACACGTGTTTTGAGCAAATAGCAATTGTCAATAGTTATCTAATAAATGAGTATGTAACACCGAATTCAATGCATTTCGTTATGCCACAATTTTACTAACTACCTACTTATGTTAGCAATATAGTAAGTTCTTTCCTTAATTTAACGAAAATATTCCTTTAAAATTATTATAATAATTTTACATATCGCATACCGTAAGAATATGTAGGCGAAGTCAAAAAGTCAAAAAGGACCATTTTAAAGAGTAGTCACTTATTGTTTTTTTTTAAGGTAGGGGACAAAAGCCTAGCAAGCGTTATTATCCACGAAATAATGCACAGCTGGACTGGGAACTCGTTGACTATCAAGAATTTCGAACACTTCTGGCTCAAGGAGGGCTTCACAGTGTTCTTAGAGAGAAAGGTCACCGCGTCTCTCATTGAGGATCCAGTTGAAGCTAAACGCAAGCGTGACTTCCGCAGCCTTTTAGGTCTTGAACAGTTAATAGAAGGAGTAAGTAATAAAACGTTATTTATTTGAAATTAATCAGAACAAGTAAAAAACAACTTACAGGCACATATTGTTTTTTGCGAAATAAGGATGTATCACAATAATAACCTTTCAGAGCATATTACATAATGCTAACTAGACAGCATTCATATTGTCACGAAACATCACGGACATTCCAGAAAATTCCGGGAATTGTTTAATAATAATGCAGGTTGGCACGGAACAATATGTTATAAATTAAAACGTTTAAGATCGAAAATAGATTATCGCGATTGTTGCGATTATCTTGTTTACATTCGAAACGAATTTGTATTTCTCATAAGCGGACGGTTCTCGTAGTAATTGTCATTTGCTAGAACTATCCTTTACGAGTATTGTAAATACGGACACGTCTTCGTTGAGTTCAGTTCAGTTCGAGCTACGTGCGATAAATATCGAAGCGACTGAAGCGAATAGAAGTGTGACCCAGCGACCTCGGCGATTATTCCGGACTATTCTTCAGTGTTGTTGAACATTTTTCAAGTGTAGTGATGGTATCTCTTTAGTCGTCAAAAGGTTCATTATTCCATATCAACGAGCCCTAACACATAACAACTGGTGTCAAAAGTGAGATTTTGGAATGCCATCCGAGAGACGAAGGTACCTGTGAGGGAGTGAAGACCAGGGCTCAATATACTGCAGGAGCATCGGGTGCGGAAGAAGGTTCCGTTCCGTTTCCTGAACCGGTTCTGACCACCGGGCCACGCTCACTTCGGAACAAGCTCCGATTGGCTACACCCCTACGACCATGCCAACGCTAGATTTAGTGGATCTCTTTAAGATTATGGTGGTTATGAAGGAGGAGTTAGACCAGTTTGTGGCTATTCAAGGAGCTATACAAAATAGGCAAGAGCAGCCAGACAACAAGATTATGTCGATACAAGGAGCTGTAGAAAATGGGCAAGCGGCTATACAGAAACAAATAAGGGGTGACAATCGCCATCAGCGAAGTAAGTGGCGATGTAGATAAACTATGCAAAGATAACAAAGACGTCTAAATCTTTTGAAGAACGGGTCACCTGCCTAGGTTCTGATGTGGACAGCGTGAAGAATGAGCTCACGGAGTTGCAGAAGAAGGTGTGTGTCTCGCAATTTTGGGTATATCAGCAGCTGGGTCGGGTATAGTTGGCGTAGTTCATGAACCCAGTGTAAAGGTCCCTTCTTATGATGGCATTACTTCGTGGACCGCGTACCGTCAGCAGTTCCAGACTGCCGCTACTGCGAACGCATGGATGAACAATACCTGACTACCATTGTTGCGCTTAGGTGGCAGGCGTTGACGGTCCTAGAGACACTGCCTAGTTCGGACAATGGATACAAAGAGCTGTTGGAAGCGCTCGAATCCAACGCTCGGGAGAAGGACTACAGCAATTGGCGTTGGAAACGAATGTGGCGAGAGAGGTCATCTGTAGCTTAATTGCCCGCTAAAGAGTTTGCAGATGACAATGCTAAAGAAAATTGAGGAACGTCTAGAGGAGTTGATAAAGAAGCGCGACAAGATCTCGTCGTCCCCTGAAAATCAGGGAAGCGAGTAACAGCCAGGACTAGAGGGCGAGTACTGGCTGCCGTGGAGGAGGCCCCGTCGACGGTCATTTCACAGGCTTGTACTGGAAACAACCTCGTAATTCTGGGGAATATTAACGGAACAGACGACACAGGAACCACAAAAACAATATTGTGACCGGACCTAGTGAACGAGCAGATGGATTACCAGATGATAAGTGTATACCGCCGCCTATGTTCAAGTCACAAGGCGTTGCCACTCCCTGACTGAGTCCCTCACAGTAAAGAAAAGGGAAAAAGCACGATGGCCTTTGAATGAGAAGCAAACGAACGATTGGTTTTATCAAAATATCATCATCACGTCATTCCAGAGGGGGTGATGTGGGCTAAATAAAAATTTACAGTCTTACAATGACTTTTCAAGTCTGCAGCTCAATTTTATTAACATTAGTATAGATTAACAAAGTAAAAAAGGTTAGATAATTGAATTATCTACAAACAAGGTAAGTTTTTAAAAAATGATGAATGTTTCCGAAGAATATAATAATCGTTTTTTATGCGATAAGCATAAGCCGACCTACTTGGAAGACTGAGCTAAGCTAGCTATTTTTTTATCGCGTTTTTATATAAAAAGCAAAATGTCATCTTAATGAAAAAAAAGAGTACTGGACCTCTATAAACTAGTACAGTTTCCAAGATACGCGAAACTGGTTAGGTTTTAGGTATTTGTATATGTGAAATTCTGTAATCTGCTTCTCTGTAAAATTGATTTGGAAATATTAATCATATTTCAAATATACCTAAACTCACGGCTTATTTCCCTTCTTAGTATAGACAGACACAAAAAATACTTTTTTGTATTTCTGAACGTATACATACCTAAAGTTTCATTCTGAAATGATTATATTAAAAATATTTATTGTAATTAACCAGATCTTTACTTATGCGCATCCAGTTGCTGCTAGTAATGTTTATAAATTACTGTAATGATGTAATTTTAAAAATGAAACAGTTCAAAACCAATTTTCAATTAAGTGCCATTGTAAAAGTGACCATGGATAAAGGATGTCATAGTCGAACCTACAACGATTGCTTCATTCAAGGGACCATTGACAAAAGCAGTTGCCGGCGAACAGTTCATCGGTAAACTATGGTTTGTAGAACCAACTTCGGACGAAGGGTGTTTTAAGCAAACAGTTCATCGATGGAGGTTAATTCAGTATTCGATTTTGAGATCGCTTTTAATGAGGCCCTACCTCAGTATGCCTAATGCCGATCAGATAAGTATGCGTTTTAGGACCGACCCGAACCGGCACACCAACTCACATGAACACCTTATGAACTCTTTTCATGATTCGATCAGTTTACGTAGTTATAAATTTTCATAGTTAGATATTTTTGCAACTAGCTGCTTCAGAAGTGATTTTTATATCAACCTCAGTACAAGTAAAATAATGACACTCTTGTATTATTCGTCTTAAGTGATTAACTGAAGATTTAGTTTTAAATTTAATTATATATTTAGGTGGAAACATTGGGTGCGACGAATCCTTTGACTAAACTAGTTTTAAATCTTGATGGTGTACATCCTGATGAAGCCTTTTCTATCATCCCGTATGAGAAGGGATCACTCTTCTTACGATACTTGGAAGATTTGTTTGGCGGGCCCGGTAAGTTTGTATTGATTTGTCAAGATTCAGGTCGAAGTTATTAGTATGTACCTAATGTACATTTTAAAACAAGAAATCGCGGGTCTTAAATACTAAGTTTTCTTTACGATAAAATTATTTTTCTCATTGAACTTATTTTACAGTACCTATATCAAAGAGTTTTAAAGTAGCTTACATATTCATTATCTTATTTAGGAATCTTAGAAAGTGAAGCGTTAGTGTTATGTTAGGGGGCACAGTGCTCCGTCTTGGCGGAGCGGGACCGGGAGAGGTTTAGGACTCTCCCGGCCCGCCAGGCCCGGGAACGGGCCAGGTACCGCAGGCGACTCAGGCGCCGGAGGTGGCAGAACGACCTCCGTCCTCCATAAGCGCAGGCCTGGGGGTGACAGGTGAGGCCATCTGTCACCCTAGCAGAATCAGGCCGGGGTGGCGGCGAGCGCGTTGCGAAGCGCGCTCGCTTCCAGGGAGCACAGGGAACATGGGGTTCCCACACGGGGGGGGGGGGGGGGTCGTCTACTCGTCTGTAGATGACCCGAGGTATGTCGGGGTACCAGGGACTTCCTTTCTAGGGTATACCTGGTTCCCCGGCTATTAGTACCCGAGACGGCGTGCGGTTTTAGTCGGTTCGAGTCCGACATGCCACCGACAGGTGGTATCCGAGGGAGTTTCCGCACGGAAAAAAAAAAAGGGGGGGCACAGTGCTATCTACAACGACAAGCTTCTTTGTTCGATGGGAGACTGTGAGTTCTCATGTTTTCGCTATTAAATTAATAAATATTCCACCGGATAGAGATGCGCTTTCTCTTTTGTGATCAATAATGTACGTAATTATAGATAAGTACAAGAACAAAAACATTTTTTTTTTATGGTTAATGTGGCAGCAATATGGTTGCAACTGTTTGGAAATAAAATTTTCTGAAAGTATCTTAATTATTTATTAACAGAAAATTGAGATTTTCAGACAAGATTTGAAGCAGAAGTCACAATTCAGAAATTAAGCACAATAACTCGACTTAAGTTAGAAAATTACGCCAAAATATAGCAACATTATAAATAGCGACGATAGTTAAATATGACAATAGACTAAACACGAATATTTTCTTTCTAAATATATGCCTACTTATAAGGAAATATTTCATACTAGAAGAGCCATAGAGATATACCTAACCATAGAGAGAACACGGGATACAGCTGCCTGTAAGTGGAAGCGATATAGGCAACGAGAGAGATGATAGCCTATATTTCCCTCTGTCTCTGTTTAGCTCTCTATTTAGCTAAGCTGCGATTGGCTACTTATTAACAACTCATATTCCCCAGCCAACCACAGAGCTCGGCTAGAAAGAGATAGAGGGGACTATCTATTATCCATCTTTCTCGTTGCCTATATTGCAGGATGGGGGATTGGACTTGTTCCCTCTAGATTATATCTCTTTGAGTGGAGCCATTTATTAGCTCAATTGCCATTAGTGTACTAAAAAATGTGTTTTACAATCTATCTAATGAAATAGGTTTTTAATGTATTTTTTCCTTTCCCAGAGGTTTTCGACGGATATATTCGTTCTTATGTGAACAAATTTAGCTCGAAGTCCTTCGGTACGGAAGAGTTTAAGGCTCATTTCCTACATTATTTCAAAGACAGTGACAAATTGAACCAGATCGACTGGGATGCTTGGTTGCACGGTTGCGGAATGCCGCCGGTCATTCCTGAGTAAGTCAAAGTACAACAGTTTTAGATCTTTCTTGGGGGTCTTTAGGTGCAGTATGCTTAGAAACAACAAACGTTGCTATATGCTATATCGTAATAGCTGACAGTACAAATGCTGAGCCAAGTCAGCATTTCTACTGTTAATATCGATTGGACAACTCTTTAATAAATATTTTTTAATCCTAAACAGCTACGACAAAACAATGACAGAAGAAGTGACAGCCCTCGTCGGCCGTATAGTTAATATAAACGTAACATTGTCTTATAACGATGTGGAGAAATTGGATGTGCACCAAATGATACATTTGCTTCAGCAACTCGTTGTGAATGCTCAGCTGTCCTTGGATAGACTGAATAGTCTTGGTAAAGAGTATAGGATAATCGACAGCAAAAACAGTGAGATTTTGTATAGGTGAGTGAGTGAATCTGAAAATGAGTGCTACTTAGGGATTTTCCTTACAGTAGAACTATATGTAATACTCGTAAGTTGACACTCACACGCGGTCGTCTGCTCCCAAACTAGGCAGAGCCTGTAGTATGATAATTAGTCGAACCCACGACCTCTGGCGTAGCCGTCAGGGTCACTAACCACTAGATCAACAGGCTAGTCAAACTGTTGGTATAGGTACTAATGAATTTGGTGTTGAATTTTAATAATCCATGAGTGGACATTTTATACATATATCTAATAATTATTTTTTTCAGGTGGTTAAGGTTGAATGTCATATCTAGAAATGACAGCATACTTGATGAAGTGTTTAGTTTCCTGAACAGCTTGGGGCGATTAAAGTATGTGCGTCCTTTATACAGAGAACTTTATTCCTGGGAAGATGTTAGGGCTCGGGCCATTGAAAATTTCTTAGAAAATGAAAAATACATGAGCCATTTAACAGCTTATAACTTAAGGAGAGATCTGCATCTCAGTGACTAAGCTAACTTTGTAGCGTTAACAGAAAATTTAGTTTTCGGCCGGACAATGTTTTTACAATAACACTTTATGTATAGTAAAATGGTTTTATTTCAAACCTGGGGTTTTTATTTTAATGAAGTTGGATTCCATGGGCGTTTTATACTGATTACGCGATGAGTAGGTATAGGTCTAACAGAATGTTTGTTTTATATGAGAACATCAACTGTCATTTGTCTTGTCAAGTTTGGAATATAGTCAGTGTCTTTTTTTTACTCAAAAAGTATAATTTGATGGACCGGGTAACCTAACCGGGTAACATATTAAGAAAAACCGCGAATCTAAAGATATTGACAGATAAGACGGATTTGATTTATTAAGGCACGGTACTATTATAATACAGTACTGCAACTTCATACAAACGGACGAAACGGGAGCTATACCTACGCGCCTCGATCTCGGGGTGCGCTCGGGGCGCAGACAGTCACGGCTGTACCGCAGTGTCGAACGGACTGCGTGTTGTTTTTTTAACAATAACCGCGCGATTTTTTCTCTAAAAATCAGTTAATATGACGAGTAGGAAATATTGTGCTGTTTTTGGTTGTATGAATTCGTCAATAACGCATCCAGACATAAGTTTTTTTAAATTACCTGGAAACTCTGAAAAGTAAGACTATAAAATAATTTTACTTACTAGTACGTAGGTACATAATGTGTGTCTTTTTAATGGATAAGTATTTCCTTTTATCTCACGAAAAAGAGGTGTTTGGATGAATAAATAAAGCAAATAGAGTAACGGAAAGTTATTGAGACGAGTGAAATAGGGAGTTACATGCGGTTCTGAATGAATCATGATACGGTAGGTACCTACCTACTTACGCTTGTGTTAAAACTTCGGTGCATGTTTGTTTTGTTACTTTGCATAATTCAAAAAAAAGAAAATTCTACTTAAAGACGTGGTATTTTATTATTAATAATATATCTTTATTATCTGTGTGTATGAATAATACTAAAAAAAATTTGTTACCGTCTGTGTGTCATTAGACAGTTTTCGAAATTTTCACAAAGTGTTTCTGCTGCTACTATAACAACATATACCACTAAAAACTGGTTTTATTTTCTCGGTATTAACAACAACAGCTAGACTCATATATAATATTTAGATGTTTGAGGGTTGTGATTTTAAAACATTCGTAGTCAGCTGTTCAGCTTTTTAATAATTAATTAATTGGTGACCAAAGAATTTTTGTTTTGAGTTGTTGCGAGTTGTAGGTTATAGGTTAGGTAATTTATAGAGACGTTAATTAGCTGAGATAAAAAGTTACTTACTCGTCAGCTGTTTCTTGCATTCTAGTTGAGTAGGTGGTAGGTGTTGGAGTTTCTAAGGATTGGAGTTTTGTAACGCGTATGGAGAAAGCACATTTATTTTATTTTATAGAAGGATTTTTTTCGGTTGCTAATTTATAAGCCCGATTGGTTTTTCAAACAAAAAAATGTTTTTTAATTAAATCTACCAATCAAAAATCAACACGCATTTTTATTGAACAATTCCTATTCAATGTACAAAGTATTTCATTTATTTATATAAAAAGGATATTTACAATCACAAATCTAAATAGAAACAGAAAGTAGGCAAATATCACTAAAATGCTGGAGACGGGCAGCCCTAACGCATGTTTACGTACCGCGCGGCTGTAGGCATTTATTTCTATCATGCGGCCGAGTTACAATACTGTATTATAATAGTACCGTGATTAAGGTGAGACATCTTTTTGGCCACGCCGTTATCGTGGCGGAAAGCCATATGGAGGATTGGCTCGAGAGGCATCACGGAACCTTCTCATACCGGTTGACGCAGGTGATCACCGGGCAAGGATGCTTCGGAGATCACCTGATTCTGATCGTAGCGGCCATCGGAGTGGGAATTCTCTCGCTCGGTAACATGATTGCCGCCATGGTACGGAGCGAGAGTGCGTGGAACTCAGCCGTCTCTTTCTGGCGGTGCGGGACCGGGAGAGGTATAAAACTAGGTTTAGGTCGCAGAAGGACCTCTGTTCTCCATAAGCGCAGGCCTGGGTGAGGTAGGTGAGGCCATCACCCTAACAGAAGCAGGCCGGGGTGGTAGAGAGACGCGCTGCAAAGCGCGCGTGCCCTTTCGGGAGCACAAAGGGGACATATCCACACAGGAGGGAGTCATTTACACGCCGTAGATGGCCCGAGGTACGTCGGGGTAACAGAGATTTCCTTCCTAGGTTACACCTGGTTCCCCGGCAACTGGTACCCGAGATGGCTTGCGGTTTTTGGTCGGTTCGAGTCCGACATAACCAACGGTGGGGATTTCCGCACAGAAAAAAAGGTGAGACATCTATTTGCGACTTTTATTTTGTAAATAAGTGATGGTAGAGAAAAGATGTTGAAGGTTCTGTTAAAAGTATTTCACTTATTTTCTTTCTTTTATGTAAATGCTGCTAGATAATATGGTTTCGTCCATCCTATCGACGTTTGTATACCTACGTAAAAACAATATCACGTCAATATGAATAAAATAAGAATAATTTTACAAAATCGGTGAAAGAAAAGCTTATTCGAAATCTCTCTAGACCTTCACTAATTATGTATTTTAGATAAAGCTAGATTTTATACAGATTAACAAAATCACTCACACAAGTTAATCTAATCGCCGCTACAAAAGAATGGCTGCTTTACTACGATGATAACCGGAAATGTCAACAATAAAGCAGTGAAACATGAAGTCGGTTAAAAAAATGGCATGAGGGGTCTATGAACCCCCGGTGGGAACGAAGTTCCTTTCGCTTTTTGGTAGACGTTGATAAGACTAGACCTGCAGTAAAATAAAAGATAAAAGTAAATTTTTCCTCATCTTTATCTATGCAAATTAATAAAATTGAAGTGTTTTTGTAATGTCAAAATAATAGGTTTTTTTCATGCTCACGCATGTTATTTGCACGACGCCTATGCCTAAAAACCGGTTAAAATATTTTTTGGCTGTCTGTTTGTTCCGGGCAGTCTTTGAAACAGCTGGACCACTTTTGATAATATTTTAATACCAGCTGGCTGTCTATATAAGGAGTAACTTAGGCAATTTTTTCTCTTAGAAAAACCCTACAACTCTCAATATAATTTGCACACTGATCAATCCTGATTCAGTCTGTTTAGTTTTTGAACGACAAAACGTTCATAATGTCATTTTCATATGATCTATTTGACACATAACCTAAGAAAATACATTGTAAAGTTATTTAAGTAAATACATTTTTTATGCATTGATCAAAAATACAATTTGAACCAAATTAAACTTGAAATGTCAGCAGCTAAAAGAGTTCAGGTAAACTAACAGTTTAAATGTGTGGAACTTCATATAGGACTTTGATATATAAAATAACCAAAACAACTTGAAATTTTCAGCAATGGGCTACATTTGCTCGTACTTGGCATATATTTGACTGCAAATGGCAAGACCCGTATGAGTCTGCTAATATTATTAAGAAATATCTCATGGGGCAACATAAACCAATCTATCATCCTTTAAATGATTGCGGAGACGTCGTTGTGTGCATCAACAGCCGCGAAATTGCTTTAAGAGGTGATGAATGGCGTAAGAGAGCGTATTTTCATCACACTGGGTATCCTGGCGGTGCTTCGTGGACTCTAGCATGGGAGTTACATAACAAAGATCCAACTATGGTAAGTTGAGGACTACCAAGGCATCTGGTGTCAGCCCCGGATCTACGATTTTTTCGAACTGGGGCAGAAACTTGATAGTGGCGCCCCTCTCCGGCGTTTGAGATAAATTACTGAAAAAAAATCCCAGATATATAAGTTCACTTGTAGTATGGGCCTGTGGGGCTCCTTTTTCTAACAAGTCGAAAGTGAGCCAGCCAGGCTTCAGTATGCTAGGCACTTTGTGGAGCAAGTTTTTTATTTATATCACACCATATAATGATTTTGGCGCCCCCTGAAACTGCCGCCTGGGGAGCTCGGTTTGCCCCTCCCACCAAAGATCCGGGGCTGTCTGGCTGTCTACTCTGGTGCAGTGTATTAAGTAATTCAATTTAAACTTCATCATGAAGTGAGGATGATTTCAAATTGTCTAATTCAGTAAATTGAGAATAAATAGTAATAAACATTGCTAACATTGCTAATATATAGTACTTATGGCAATCATCACACATGAACTAAGTGGTCTAAGATGACTAACGTATGTATAGGTAATATAACATACTAGCCTTAGAATTAACAAATTAGGTGATAAATTTGGTCACCTACCGACAGCAGCGCCACCTATCGGGTTCGATTGTATTTTCAAACCATTCAGGTAATAAAGTAAATTTCATCAAAGTGTGTACATAACCATACAGAAGATCGGTATAACATTGTTTTACTGCTGGTAAGCCAGTTCTTAGGGTAGTGTAAATTAAAATATAAATACTGCTGGTCTCCATGCAGTTTATTTTTTACGGTATCACTAAAATCATAACATCTAATAAATACTACTTACACTGCCACTATATTCTGACAAGAAGACACAGCTATGACTTCATGGTGCAAGTATGATGCAGGTATATAAACTCGTTACCTACCTACCTATTCCATTGGTAATAACAGTTTGGTTAACTATTTATTTAATTTAGATTGTTTATGCAAAAATATGGCAAAGGCGGACTTAATACCGTAGGCATTTTCTGCCAGTCTTACTTAGGGCGATGCAGAGCCAAATTTGGTAGATGCACAGAAATTAAAAATGTAATTTATTAAATATAGCATATATTGTACACAAACACACACCCAGGGCACTTATAAATTAGATAAAAATAATTTTTAATGATAAATACAAATACACTAGGTAATAAAAATACCAACACACATGATACATAAGTATTTAAATACACATATACATACATATTTATACACATGATATAAATTCTAGGTGGGAGTATAAAATTAGGTGAATCTGACAACATGTTTAAGTAAGGTTTCTGCAAAAAGTGAAGCGCGAGCGCCCTCCCGGAGCACAGGGGGAACATGGGTGTTCCCACACAGGGGGTCGTCTACCCGCCGTAGATGGCCCGAGGTACGTCGGGGCACCAGGGATTTCCTTTCTAGGTTACACCTGGTTACCCGACTACTGGTACCTGAGACGGCGTGCGGTTTTAGTCGGTTCGAGTCCGACATTGCCACCGGTAAGTGGTATCCGAGGGGATTTCCGCACAGAAAAAAAAGGTAAGTCAAAACAGAATAGGTGCACAATGTTGGTATTTAACTTACTGCTGTTTACATATAAGCCGTCGACCGTTATAGTCTACTCACAAGGAGCAGATAAATGCTCAGGCATGTTGGTCGCAAATAGCTACTTAGACCTAGCATAGCTTAAGTTTCCTCGCGATTGTTATCTCGCGTTTATTCCTTTTCGTTGTTACAATCGCTCTTTATTTAGAATATACATAGTACGTTCAAATTTGATCACATATACCTAAGAAGTGCGTTGGACCCCATTGTCCTCTGGACTAGATTATACTACTTGTATACGATTGTTGACTGCACTGTGATGACATAAGGGTAACAATTAAGTCATACTTTAAGTTCTGCAGCAGGTTGCCGCACAATCTGAATTGACCTTTAGGCGGATGGTGTTATTGACAGCTAAAGGCGGTCACATACGCTACGAACCCTACACTATCTAGCCTACATATTATTCCTGCTATGGGGTGCTGGAGTACCCCATACTAAATAATGAAACGATTTATGAAAACTTGTTTTATTATAAATAAATAGGAACGTGAGATTACCAATCAGCCTTATTTTATAAAATTAGTTTTAGTTTGAACACTTTGTACAAACATTTTTATTTGATGTTCTAACTAAGCAAAAAGGTAGTTTACACCTTTAGTCTTAGTTTTTTTGTCCTTGGACCTTGGACGAAAGCCACACCGTCTTTGGGTTAAAGGAACAGTGCTTCCAGGATCTTGCGTTTTTTGTAGGGTGGATTCATTAAATGGATTCTTTCATATTATACCTCAAAGTTTGCATCAGGTAAAGGTCCTCCAATATTTATTTTCAAAAATGTACGTCGAATCTTTATGTTTTGCTTGTTATTTACTTACGCACCCTTGAAGAAAACCTAAACAAGAAACTATTATATAAATACCAGCCAAGTGTATGTCGTAATACGCTCAATATAGTTTTAAACAAGTATCACTGTATCTAAGTATTTTGTCTCTGAGGATTTTGTTCAAATTGTAGCATTTATTAGTTGAGCTATTAATGCTCTTAAATGAACAAATCTTTGAAAAAGAATAATATAATATTATACAGTACGTTAAATATGTTTACGGTTTTATTCTCAGAAAGAAAATTACCCGTCCTCTCAATTTAGTTTTACCTAAACCACATTATAGCCGTACAGAAACGACATTATGTATATATGTAACTATTTATTTATATTATATGTATGTTTTTTTGTATGTATCGCTAGGACTGACTGTATTATAATCAACTACCTTTGTCATTTACTTTTTATCGAAATTTAATGCTGTTTGCTATAGAACCATTTCATGTTTCTTCTACATTTTTTTACACACCAAAACTACCCATAAAATCGTCTATCTAAGAGTCAATTTGTCCATCTAAAGGTTGCCTGTAAGAAATTGCTTTTAGCGACGAGGGCGCCATTTTTGTACATGGTCTTTAATTTGATGTACTCTTGTATGTATGATGTGCTAAACTGGTGTACAATACACTTTTTTCTATTCTATTAATCTGTGAGAGATTGTAATAATCTTTAAATATAAATAAACTAGAATTCATGCGCACTAGTTTACTAATATTATAACTGAATTTTGAAGTTTTTTTTCTATACAAATGTATTTTGTTTTAGATTATTAAAAAGGCAGTATACAGAGCGATGAAAGGCAACCTACAAAGACGTCACACAATGCAAAGACTTTTTATTTATCATGAAGAAAATGTTCCTGAAGATATAATGAAGAACGTATCAAGCCAGATCCGCCAGTCGCGCCTTGTGCCAACTAGACTTGACCATATACCTGAGGAGGAGGTTAAACAATATCCTAAAGTTATGGATTACCCCAAAGATTATGTGCTTAAATAAATAATTGTTGTATTATGTTAATATTTTTAATAAGTAGATAAGGTTCAGATTGATTAAACTAATGAGAATAATTAACTACATTTTTAATTTTTATTAATACATATCATAACAGGTGTTTTAAATATAAACATTTGATCAAACATACCCCATGTTTGTGGAGGGAAAGCTTACGCAAGAGGAGCGTCCGCAACGAGCACGGCATCTGCTACATCGGCAGATTTGCCTTCTTCTTCAAGAGGAGCGTCGGCAACAAGTACAGGGTCAACAAAATTGTCAACCTTTGCATCATCTTCTTCGAGAGGAGCGTTGACGAAAGGAATTGCGTCTGCTATATCAACAGGTTTGTCATCTTCTTCAAGAGGAGCGTCGGCAACAAGTACGTCGTCTACGAAATTGTCAACCTTGGCATCTTCTTCAAGAGGAGCGTTGACATAAGGAACTGCGTCTGAGGCATCGGCTGATTTGGCATTTTCTTCAAGAGGAGCATCGGCAACAAGTACATCGTCTACGAAATTGTCAACCTTGGCATCTTCTTCAAGAGGAGCGTCGACATAAGGAACTGCGTCTGAGGCATCGACTGATTTGGCATCTTCTTCAAGAGGTGCGTCGGCAACAAGTACATCGTCTACGAAATTGTCTACCTTAGCATCTTCTTCAAGAGGTGCGTCAACGAAAAGCACTGCATCTACAGCGTCAGCAGATTCTGCATCTTCAAGAGGAGCGTCAGCGACAAGTACGGCGTCAGCGACATCAGCGAGTTCTCTTGGTTCAATTGGAGAATCTACAAACAGAGTGGGTTCAACGCCTGCAGCGTGAGCCTCATTGATGTATGCGTTATTTTGCTCTGGGTTAACTTCACCAACTTCATTGAGCAATTTGGCGAAAGCTGGCTCTATAATTAGTGGTAGAAAGCTTGGGTTTTCGAACACTGCATTAGGGTCAGCATTTAGCACTTGAGAGTCATCATCTTGAGGTGCGGGTAGTGGAGCCGCTGGCAGTGTGAAAGCCCCGGAGGTAACAGCCAGAAGTGCAAGTGCGATGAAGATCTTCATTTTGCTAAAAAATATATTATTTTATACCTTTAGTTATTAGTGACTAATAATATGTACAGTTTAATGCTATAATTATCTAATCTTTCAAGACGGGTGTTTACAAACAGTATGATCCGATTTTGCACCGTTATCTTAGTGTATCATAATGTGATATCGATTATCGTTGACAAATACCATCTTGATGCAAGAGGATTAACGCAATAAGTCTTTTATAGTTTCTGAAAGTTTGTATAAAACGTTGGATTTTGCCGTGTGGACTTAATGCGTCTTGCATATCTAGCTTGCCAAATTACACAAAGTCACATTCAAATAAGTTAACATTAAAAGCTTTTAACAGGCATCACATCACATCATCATCACATCAACAGCCTATAATAGTCCACTGCTGGACATAGGCCTCTCCTTAGAAAGGAGGTTTTGGCCTAACAGGCATTACACTGTTAAAATTTCAGACGGTGAGTTAATTTCTTGTTTTTCTATGATTCACTTTGTTTCAGTGACGGATCAACCGATCGAAGTTCATCTGCTATTGCACAAATAGCGGTCACTGGCACACTTTGTACTTTGTACACAGACACAATATAGATGTATATATTGTTGAAACAATTATATAAATAAAAAAAATGAATCCTTATTTTCTTTAGCTCGAATTGAAAAATTATTTCAGTGTTAGACAGCCCTTTTATCGAAGAAGGATACAGGCTATATAACATCATGCTAGGACCAACAGGAGCCGAGTATCAATTAAAAACGTTAGGAAAACGAACTGAAAAACGTTAGGAAAAGTTGCGCGGTTCAGCCTTTATATGTTGTAAATAGAAACATCGACCCGATCAATCGAAAATGAACCTTTTCGTGCATACAAATATTTGAATAAGGCGGGAATGTGTAGTACACTTTATCATTAACCAAATTATCAAGAGCAGTTGAAGTTTGCGGTACGTTATTGAAACGTTCGTGGTACACACCTAATTTAGTCAATTTTGTAATTGTTTTACACGTAAGGGTATAAATGCTATTTTGGCACAAACTATGTTCGCTATTTCACTATAATAAGAATATTGTATGAAACCGTACCTACACCGCAACGTCTATCATTAATATTTTATTCACTTTAAACTTTAACTTTATACTAAAAATTAAGAATACATTCTCACCTGTAAATGCAATTATCCAACAACAGCAATAACGTTCTTTAATTACAGTTACTTTTATATGTACTAACGTCTGCTTATCCATAATCTTTAGATAGGCTTATCGAAAAGATTTCATTTGTACACGTTTCCAGATTTGTACATTAATTATTAAAGCTTACTATGTTTATAAAGCTGAACTGATTATTAGATATAGCATATCAATATTCAATAGTTCGGCTTTCTTCTAAAATTACTTTTGTGTTTTGTAAATTTGTAATAAGAACAAGGTAATCTCTACAAGTGGATTACTAGTAACACGGGCTAAACTGACTTCCACAGTAATTTACGTTCTCATAATTAAATTATTCGACATTGTATTGTTAGAATGAGTTTACGTTACCACGCAGTACAGTTTTCTCATGTCTTTAGCGACCTTTACGTAAAATATTTGCTTATTCTAAAGTTCAAGCCTTTCCGCATTAGTCGAAGAGTAACGTGTTTCATGCGAACTTGTTTAAATTATTTCTGCCTAAAACATTTGACAGAAATTTACCATGTATTTCAGTCGCCATTTTCTTTATTTTAGAAAATATGTTATGTCCAGTTAAGGCATTGATGGCTTCACGTGTTTTTGCTAAAAGCGATTTCCCATCAGCCTTATGTAACCCTAGCTCACTCGCGCTGACTGAGCTCGACATTGATGCTCGCCTCATATTGGTCGTAGCGTGATGTTATATAGCCTTCCTCGGTAATGGGCTATCCAAAACTAAAAGATTTTTTCAATTCGAATCAGTAGTTCCTGAGTTTAGCTTTATAATGTTAAGTATAGGTAGATTTTAGCGTTTCAGCACAAGAAATGGAGATGGTTTGAAAGACATTTTGGCACTGAAAACAAACTATATAGGGAGACAGTCGCTCCGACTTAGCGATAAAATCTAATTTAAACGCGTTTTTAAAAGGAGTAAAATTTTCCCGGTAATTTATTGACAGAAAGTAAACTTGTCTTAACTCTGTTTATTTGATGTAGGTATATCTCATTAGTAATAAATAAATGACAAGACAGAACTAATCTTGGTTTGCTGTATAAGAACTTAGAATTCACCCTTTCAGTCGAAGATATAGTTAGTACTTAGGTATACAAACAGAATGACGTAGGTACTACGAAGTTCTATACGTGCGTTAGACGAAAGAATAGAGAAAAGAGAATGTACTACTGTATGTTCCTACTCCCAACTCTTATGTAGTAATTGCGTCTGCTCCGGTCTTCTAATAACTTTCTTCTTTCTTGTCTCTCTACATCCGAGTTTGTTGGTTCATCCTTTATCGTTCAGTTCGTTCTTCTTTGGAGTGCGCTTCCGCTCGAAAGCAGGATGGGTAAAAACACTTTTTCTTTTAAGGTAAAAGTATCTGGTGAAACAACTCGCAGAATCAACTTGCTTCATAATTTTTTAATATAAAATTGTTATTAGTATCTACCTATGCGAATGTATGCATGTATTCGTAAACTTTTGTAATGTATTTATGTGTAATATTTATAGTTGTAGTATATAATATTTTTGCATATAAAATAAAAAAATATATATTTGCAGAATCAGAATAAGGTCTTGGTTACATTTTTTATATGATTTACATCTTATTGTCATTAGATGCTTATATAAAGCTTGTTACTAAAGCTAACATAAAACTAGTATAATATTCTAAAATGTGCAAGAGTGAATATAAAAAAGTAAAATCAATTTATTACAAATGCTTATACAAACGGCCTGAGCTAGGTGTGAGATTTGTGGTTCAGGCAGTCTCTTGTATTTTCAATACTTTGTTTATCTTATTATGTAGATATGGTGCTAAGAAGGGATAAAATTTGTTAATATACGTCTGCGTCGTTTGAGGTTAGACACATGCAATGTCGTTCCTTCTCTTGTCTAAGAACCTCTCGTAAGAGAGTAGATATATTCTTTGCTAAGAACATAGGATTAAATGGTAGTTCTGCGTGTTGTTTTAGTATGATATGCAATATAAATAACTGTCGAACTGTTAATACTTTGCATTCCTGATAGACTTGGTGAGTAGGCAACCTAGCTTGGCGACAGGTGGCTACTTTTAGCATTATTGCTCTTTGAAGACGTTCAAATGGGAGTAAATGGTTTTAGCAGCGCCACCCCACGAAGTTATGCAATATGTGAATATGTTAGTATCGACTGTCACAAAGCCAAATAGATCTGTTATATTACATAATAATATGCAATAAGTACTGCGTAAGTTTTTAAAAATGTATATGAGTTTGCGTACTCTCATACATAAAAACTCTGTTAGCGAAAATTTAAATTTGTGTCAATCGTGATATCTAAATATTAAACATCATCAGTTTTATTTAAAGCAGGGCAGTGCATGCAATGTCAGCTGATGGACAGTTATGTGCATAAATATTTAGGTTAGGTGTTACAATAATTTTATTCCGCAATTCAAGGTCAGTAGATTTTTACGAAGTCAATATGATACCTCATTAAAGCCATTCTGTGCATATTCATATACTTCAACTCGTGACTTAGCTGAGAATAATATATTTTGTAGATATATATATAATTATAAATTATTACTATTTATGAAAATAAAGTACTTTTGAGAGCTAGTGGTGGCCACTTTGCTTACTCGTGAAGTTGACGAGGCAGTCCTTCAACCTACATAAAGTTAGCTAAGTCAAAAATTAAATGAAATATGTTATTAATTAATGAATTCCGACTTGCGCTACTGCCAATAAATCTTGATAGTTAATTCGTACAAGGAAAAAGTATAATCTGAAAGGAAAAAAACACAAAAAACGATAATATTGTTAGTAGCTATTTTTAACGCCGCACCATATGGCATGATATAACGAGTAGCCAGATTTGATAAATTTCCAAAAAAAACTGCTGTGATTAAGATAGGCACGTCCGCTTGTTTTTATTCTGTCGTGTTTACATGGTATTAAAAAGGGGGTAGAAATATTGTATTTAGTGGAGACCGTAGGTACTTGCAACATTTATTCGAATGTTATCCAAGACTGAACACGGGATTAGTCAGAATTAAATGCAAAGGAGCAGCCTTATCACGCAGGGTTGTACCCTGCTTGATAAGTGGCGTGGCAACTCTGGAAATGATACCGTATTAATTTGACATTAGTATCTACCTACTACCCCTCCCCAAATCCAGGCAAATCCTATTCGGCCATTTGATATTTATAAATCTCTATTTAGCCTACGCAGTTAGGCTCCGGACGTGAAAATGACATAGTCCTAGCGGGTAGAGTGGAATAAGTCTGGGATAGTCACTCCTGTCGAATAAAAAAACCCTCTTTGGTTCCGTTTACGGCAAGTAATTCGGCTTTCATAATATTCGGAAACTTACAAAATACTATTCGGATACCACTGTCAAAACTATGCGCTCGGTGGTCACGTTAGCCCTCTTTGCAGAACCTGCAAAGTACTTAGCATAAGAAACGGGCGCACACATATTTCTGCAGTGCATGGGTGTGGCGAATACCTGGGTTCACCAATAACTTACTCCGAGGACATCAGTGTTGATCTCAGGTTTCATAAATTATCTTGAGGATTTTTTGGATGGCAATAGTAGTCATCTACCTCGTTATACAAGATCACAGCAGACGTCGAGTAGCGGAAAATAGCGAGTAAATACCATATCATTCAATATTTATCGTCTGGCGGGCATAGCGACGATTGCTTTTGTATCGTAGGTACTTACAGTATCTCCCAGATTGGCTCACGCAACGATAGCCCATTGATATACAGACAACGGTGTTATGTTCTTAATGAACAAGGTTAAATGTGACTATTTCGTCATTAAGGCACTTAAGATTTTTTTTAAATAAGTTGCTAAACATCGTTTTACTTCAAAAGTATTTATTGAAAGAATGTAGGTTGTGAATGAATGAAAGTAAAAACAAATCCATTTTCGAGTGGTTCTGCTTATATTAACTTACTGCTGCTGTTACTGCTCGATTAACGACAACAGGCTTGATCCATATTTGTTACTTAAGTGGGCCTAACATTATAGTCAGCAAAATGCGGGTATTTGAAATTTCTTTGTTCACTCCTTTGGGGTTCAAGACCTGTACCTAGGCATAAACAAGTTGTGATCGGTACGGTACTCATAATCTGTTATCAATCTCATTGTAATTAATATCTGTAACTTGACACAAATTACGTCTCCCTGCGTGCTGCCACTGCATAGGCTGTTTTGAGGACACCCACTCAAGACTGGTGGAAGCAACAGCAGGTGCTTTATCGTGAGCAATTCAATGCCGCGACCTCGTAGGGCTACTTTGTTTTGGTATTGGTGTGTCCAAAAAGTGGGTAGGGATATGATATGGAATAATTAAATCAGATTGAAATGGAAACCAACATTATATACTTTATTCATAATTATTCATCTCTTCCATTACACCAAATTACCACTAAAATATATTTGGCAATATAAAAAATAAGAAATACATTAGACTCGAGTTTTTATTTAATCGTTCTACCTAATCATATCTAAAGGTAAATATTATGTTACGGTCAGAGTAGTTAATTTGGACAACTGGTAATTTACACTACAATAAACTACGACGTACATCGTAACGTAACAACGCATCAATATTTTACAAAGAATTAGAATAAGAAAACAAAGAAATCTCTAGTTGTACTAGTAATAATAAAAAATCTCCAATTTAATACTTTGACTGTAACACACGCATAATCATTCTTTTGGAATACAATTCTAATATGCAATATCTATTACACTTACGTTTAAGATAAAAAAAAAACAAATGACTATATAAAAATATACAATGACGATAACAAATTCTTATGACTTATATTATGAGCGAACGTAAGCGACGAAGCGGAAAAGCGAGTTTTTAGCTTACAATGATATCGTACAGAAATCGGACAGAGGACGCATTTTTAATACATATAAACTATAGAAAATACATAAAGATTACCCAATACGCTTGGTTTATCAACCTTGTTATAATTATTAATTCAGAACTTAATGCGTATTGAAAATCCACTGATAGACTTCTCCGCCAGGTGCAATACAAGCGTTACGGCCCGTGTAATTCCCGAATCATCGCCTATATAACAACCTATTTTACTTATTTATCCGTCGAACAACGCTTATCTCACTGTGTCTTGGTGGTAGAAAAAATACGCTTAGCACAGTATTAAAATGGAAGTGATAAAGTTTCTGTAGACGTCATCGGAGCTTGTGTGATTACAATGGAAGCTAATTTCTTAACATTAGTAAAGAGATTTTAAACAGTGTTGTTATTAAAGAAATGATGAACTCGTCAATCATAATTATATTTAATGCTTTAATCTACCATTGTAGTGAATTTTGTGAATTATCTGGCATTTATCGTATCTCAGATTCATGCAAAGATAATTTTGAACAAAACAATACCCTTGATAACGAACGAAAAGACGGGATTTCCATTTGTTAATTAAATTATCATTACATATTATAAAGTCACAGCTACATCTGTCTATCTGAAACTCAAAAAGTACTAAACGAATTTTTATTAGCTTTTTAACAATAGATAGTAATAATTGATTAAGGATTTATATGTGTTTACTGAAATATGATTACGACCGTTAAAATGTAAAAAAATCAAGATAACTGGAAGTTTTAATGTATTTATATAGTTCACATTCGTTTGCAATCTCTGAAAAGGAATTAAATTTTCCAAGTTTTTTGCAACAATTTTCATTAATGCTTTAATTGGTCGTAGCGTGACGTTATGTAGATTGCCTTCTTCGATAAATGAGTTATTCAACACTAAAAGATTTTTTCAATTCGAACCAGTAGTCCCCGAGAATAGTGCGTCTAAACAAACAAACTCTCCAGCTTTATAATATTAATATAGATTGGTGTAGTGTACCTTAACTCTTCCTTCAAATGAATCAATAGCGCCATTTTTACAGTACGGTATCAGTGCAAGCATTATGATTGACAAACAATTATCGTAACATAAAATCTATTATAGTAATCTAAATATATATATATGAAATGTTAAATTATATGAAAAGTGATTTATAGCAGATGTTTTAACGCCAGGAATAATAACACAGTAATAATAGTAACACAGCAACACTATTCTAGTGTTCATAACGTTAAAATAAATTGAAACCTGACTTTAAATGATTTTTGTTTCAAATGTGCTTTTGAGATCTTGTATGTTAAATAAAAATAAGTAATTATAAGATTATTTGTAAGATAGGTGGCATTATGGTATAACCCTAATTGGTTTATTCATACTGACTTACTTTTTGTATAAGTGGTTATGGAACCGTAACTGGTATGGTTGTATGGGTTTATTATTATTTTTAAATCACTACAAAAAATTAATTTTTACTATAAAATTTTTTTTTAAAGTCAGGCTTTAATTTTACTATGTACTCGTATATATATATATAATATTTTTAAAGCAGAGATCAATTTACTGCTAAAATGATATCAACTGACCTTTAAAAATATTTTATTGTAAATGAGGAATATAATGAGCAATCTAAACTGAACTTTATGAAATCATAAATAAGTCTTTAAATACTCCGAAATACAGTTCTGTAATGAATTATTTCGAAAGCATAACTTTATGCTTATCTTAATAAAATATGTCGACAATAACGTTAGTAAATGAATTTTTTAAATGCTGGAACGATGCAAAGAAATAGGATTTGTTAGACGATTATTATATTCTTTATTGTAGTAGTTGATACTACGTGGCTCAAAGGGCATTTAGTACATACATGGTCCTTTGAACCCTGAACTATCATAGTTTGAATTAATTAAACGCCTCAGATTTTTGTCAAGATACTCGGCACTAGAGACAAACATATTATATTACTCATATTCGTTAGAGTGAGAATACAATATCGTGAAAGACGTCTAATAAACTCAGACTAGGAAAATAAAATTTTGGAATGTAATTTTTTTTGGCATTAAAATTCCTCTTGTTGAAGACAAATCACTTAGCTATCTACCTGTTGATAATTTAACTAATATACTAGATAATTTACATTTATTATTTTATACAAATCGAAGGCCCCTACGTAAAAAACAGACATTTCAAAAGTCGTGATTTACAGAAGAGCGTTTTATAGTTTCGAACTTTAAAGAAGTAAAACAAAAAAAAAAAAAACATTATAGTAGTAGCTCCGCTCGTGCTAAATGTTAATGTTACACATTATATGTGCATTAGTTAAATAGCGCGGGCTTCTCCGGTCTTGTTACACATTTCCGTCCCTTTTCACAAAATCTATCCCACCGACTACGGGGTAGCGAGAGAAAGATGTTATGCATCAAAAATGAAAAAGATTATGCTTGCTTATGTGTATAACCCTCAATGTATGTGTAATATTTACCATTTTCTCCTTAAAAATACCCGTTTCTACATTAATCCTAAAACAGACGCTTCAAAATTCAAGTCTTAATTATTTCAGAAAACTAAATGAAGTATTACGTATATGCGTATAAGTATACAAGTTAATTCTGAAATAAATCGCAACTTTGAACATACGTAGAGACCGTCGAGACATAAAGCCGCGTACTCACTTGATACTTGACAAACAACATGTGGTCTAGATAGATTTTCTCAAGACACGTATCTGTTGATCCTTCGCATTTACATTTTAGGATTTATTTCTACTGTTCTCCTTAATATTATTATTACTGGTATTTATTTACATAGAAATGAGGTTAGAAAGTTACTATCACAATACCAGCGGAGACGCTCACACGTTGTCTTCTCTTAGCATCAGACAAACGTATTTTGAAAACAGTCTCACTTTTTTGTAACTTTAGGAAATAATACCCATTTGGCTAATGTGTTAATTACGATACGTTTGTGGTTGAATAAAAAAAATAATTAAACCGTGATTTGACAAGTTTGACAGGTGAATATACGGCTTAATACATTTAAATATATTTATGAAAACAGTGAACACAGAATATAAAGTTATTCTCTTCTCATTTTAATGACTAAAAATATTATTTAAACTATAATAAAACAATTTTTTGAATCCATAGAAACTTGTGATTAAAATTTTATTTTGTGTTGTTATTATAATTAACAATATTTGAAAAAACATGTAGGTATATTGGATGTAATTCATTTAACTATGTATGAATGTGTTATTTTATTATTTTCAATTGGGTATCTATTAGTATATACACACAGTAAGGTTGTTTAAATATTACCGTTCGAAAACATGGCTCTCTAAGTATACATATATATATCGTTGATTAAATGTAACAAGTGTGTTTACTAATAAACTAAATACCTATCGACCGTGCGAAAGTAATAAGCTAAAAAAAAGTGAAAAATAACATGAGTTTAATTTACCAAATTCTTATTTAGAATAACTGTCCCCTATATATATATATATATATACTATTATATATGTTTGCCATGGACTCCAAAACGACTGGACCGATTATGATAAAAAATTTAAGCAGTCTGCAGATTAGCGAATTATGCTCGGAAGCTTTGTTTATTATTCTTTTATGCGTGTCGGTTTAGCCAATTTTAGATATGTTACGAAAAAGTCATACATACGTGTTAAGCCTTCTTGTACATATTGCCGTAATCAGGGATAATATATAAATAATGACAATGGCATAGACACAATTTTCGTTAACTGATAAATACACGGGAGCAAGCTTAATTTTATTACAGCCTGTTCCAAATAATATAAACAGGATAAATAAAATGGCATTGTTGCCACTTTAGCGTGTCCGAGCAGTAATATTAGCACAAGAGTGTTGTATATATATATACACAATCCATTTACCAACGTTACGTAGAAGCGCGTGGTCCGTTAGGGCGTGTGGGCGCGGGGCCGCCACAGCCCCACTCATTTGATCGCACGAGCCTCCGGCAGGAACGCGTCCCAGTAGCGCATCGACTGACGAACAATGGGAAAATATAAGATATTTATTTATCATTTTTTATATTTTTATGCGGATACTTTTTTTGAGGCAATTCCCGCATTAGGAATATATCCTGTGTCGCGGGGGACTTTACAAACATACATGAAACGAACACAAATAACACTCAGACTCAGAACAACAATTTATGGATCACACAAAGTGTAGTCACACAAACACTCGGCGTAGTAGGAAGCGGCGTGGCGACCAACAGCCAACTAGACCAACATGCCAGGCCCATAAAGTTTCCTGTACGAGACTCATGTGATTGCCAACACTACTAGTAATTTTTTATGGCATGAATGCCGTCCCCCATGGACGCTTACAACTCAAGAGTCTGTGTTTTTCTAAATATTTTTTATCATTAAAACTTGTTGGCGGATTTACCTGAGCCTGGTGCTTCATATGTTCATCTAGATAACGCAGTAGCGCGGCTCGCAGTTCGGCAAGACGCAGCTCGTCCCATCGCTCTAACTCCTTTTTGATCACGCGCGATATCGTATCGAACTCTTGTTGTCCACGCTCTACTTTCGACTCCCACTGTGGAAAAAAGTCATAATTATTAAAGAAAAATGTCTTTATACAAAAGAAAACTTTTAACTGAACTGGCTTTTTCGGTAAAAATGCTGTATTTATTTACTAGGTTTTGTCCGTGGTTTTCGCTTGTAATAATAATTTTTATGCCTATATGTTTTTCTAGATGTAATGTTTTCTTTCTGTACCTCTTACAAAGTAAACTTTTATGATAATCGGGGTATCTGTCGTGAAACCATTACACATCACACCCATCAACAGCTATTAATAGTCCACTGCTCGACATAAGCCTCTCCTTAGGAAGGAGGTTTTGATCTGCTATACCGCGCTGGCCAGACAGGCTTGTATAGGGTTTTGGTCAAGCTTTCCCTTTCTTTGCAGTGCTGTTGTCCTGGTAGTTTGCTCCCTTAGTCGGTTCTTACGACACACACGGGATTAATAGAGGTATGGGACTAATCCCACCCACACGCCCACCACTGTAACTCCTGTACACCAGGATCCACAGCAGTGACCCACGAACACACCGAGTTATGACACTCGGGAAGTCCCAGGAAGAAATTAAACTGTCTTGGAACCCGCAACGAAATTAATCAGAAGAAAATTGGAGGAGTTGGAAATACAGTAAATCCACTTCCCTCCTTAGCAAAGCGGGAGACAAAATGAAGTAAAATGGGCATACACCCTTTTAAACAGGGAAGCACCACGGCCACAAATATTACGGGTCCTACGTGAGCTATGTTTGATTTCTATAATATGTATGGCAGAACCGCCTAAACGCACGGAAATTCACCCTAGTTGACACAAGATCCCCATAGTATACCGCCCCAGATGTCACCTGCAAGCTATTCAGCATAGAGGTAGTGACACTTCGTATTCTTGATCCGTCACCACATGGCACCATTACACACACCATGTTCATTTTTAGGAAAATTGGTTTTTAATAAAATTAGACAAAGTTACTCCTTGTAAGCTGCATGTCAGTGCAAATGTATACAAAAAAAAAGTATACAAAAAATGTATACAATTCCCATGGGGTTTGCACTGCAAACCCCATGGGAATTGTATACATTTTTTATGGTTGTTTGTAATGTGAAGACTCAAATACTACTTAAACGTTTTTAATTCCTTCACCTTTAGAAAGCTACATTACAAGCACACATTTTACATTATTAAAAAAACATAGTAAAAACAAAATGGCAAATGCACCACATTCTACTTACTTCAATAATTTCACTCGCAGACTGTTCAATTTTTTCTGGCCTGTTCGCCAGCTCTGCCTTAGCTTTGTTCTCTCTCCGCTTCGTTAACTGCATCTGGGCGTGCTGCCAGTTTTGGAATACCTGCAAAAGTATATACATACTTTATGCCATGTATTTACGTTGGTGTAACTCTGTGACTTCGTAGGAAATTATCGGTCGACATTTGCAAACTCTAACCACTCGTCTTTGAGATGTTCTTCGAGGAGTTAGTGTTGTTTATTTCGCTGAACATAAAGCAATAAGGATCCTCATTAACAGAAGCTCATCTCTATTTTAGTTTCAAAATTATGGGTTTGCATACATATTAAAAATTGGTTTAACCATTTTACACTTTTGTAGGGATGGTGCGTTTTATTTTGTTAATAATTAAAATTATCATTTATGTAGTGTTTAGACCTGTGAAGATGTAAAATAATAAATTATGTGTAAACTACTTTATCTAGAAGTAATAGGCATACTTTTTTACAGTAAACAATATTATAACCGCGACTTTTTACATATTATTTAAGGCATTTCGGCAATTAATTTACCTTGACTCTCTCATGGAAGACGTCTTTGATAGCGCCAATAAGTCCCAGGTAGTCTTTTACATGCTCGGCTAGGACGTAGAAGTCGGTGTTTGACTGTTCCAAGCGTAAATGCTCTATCTGGAATGAAACAATTTATTAAATTTATATTTCTTCAATTGTTACTGTTACACATTTTTGTAAACGACTGGATTGATATAACGAAAAAGGTTCGAGTCTTAAAAAGTTGACAAAATCACTCCTTATACCGTGATTTATCCGTATGTATTTGGCATCTGTGTCTCGGTATGATCGTTTGTGATGTATAAAATCAAGCAATACTTAAGTGATTTTTATTTCTAGGATGTACATTAAAAGTAACTATGATAATGGCAACTTTGTACCTCATTTTGAGCCATCGTTTGGTTTTGGTTTTGTGAAAGTAGTGATTTTATTAGTAGTGAGTAAAAATTAGTTAGCTAATTTTTTTTTGCATAGAAATCACGTTTTCAATTTGTATAGAAAACACCAATAAGACATTAAACTGACAACGCGTCGGCGTACGTATGTTAAAATTTGTACCCGCGTTACGGTCTTACAGTCGGGCTAAACGGTTGGAAAAGCCAGGTAGGAGCCGAATATCGTGTTTGGACTACCAGTACCTTCTCGTGCAGGTCTGCGGTGTGCGAGAGCGCGCGCGAGAGCGGCGCGTGCGGGTCGGCGCCGGACAGCGCGGCGCATGCGCGCGCGGCGTCGTGCGCACGCGCCGCCAGCTCGCGCCGCTCGCCCGCCAGCGCCTCGCACGCGCCCAGCAGCCGCCGCAGGCACACCTCCAGCGCCTCGATGCGCGACGACCGCTCCTCGAACCACTGTGGGGACTCCTCGTGTCTCAATCTAAATATAACTGCAGTGCATCTTACACTAGAGCTCGAATCGACTAAACGACGACCTCTTAGTTAATATATAAGTTAAGTTACAGAAAAGAACACAAGGGACCTTTTGTTTAAAAAATTTTCAAAGAATATTAAATTTATTTCAAACCTACTAAATGCGGGTGAAGTCATGTACAAGCTAACGGTGATTGATCACTGTCACTATCGAAAATCAAAAAAAAATCCTAATTTTCTTTTTTAAAAGAAAAAGTCACCGTTTCAATTAGTAACTTCTACTGAAATACACACTCAAACTCTTTAAACATATAGTAACCAAATTGATCAATTATTAAATAATAAAGTGGCCGACGTCGGCGATGATCTCAAAGACTTGATTAAACTAAATACCTTTTTCTCTCAACCGTACCAAACATTAGCTATTTGCACATTACACTTTAATATAAGAAAGTAAAAGTGTAATTCAGATATTTATATTTTTATTGTATTTTTTGATACTCACAGGATCTGATTCATCCATCCGGTACGTAATCTTGTTGACTGTCTCGCCGACCTTGTTGAAGAGACGCAGCACTCCAGCACCACTGAGGGCCGAGGTACTGGTAGCTTTTGGCAGCTCTGTGTCTATAAGAAAGGAAAACATTATGTCAAACATTAAATTATATATAAAAGAAATACATTATGTAGATAAAGAGCAAGGAGATGGATTGTGAATTTCTTTAGTAGTCTCTTTATTTACTCTATTAATAAACGAATTGATAAAGTTATATAAACCATTTCTTCAAGGAACTGGATCCTTCAGAAGCTAAATTTATAAGTAACCCTGAAAAGCATCCGCTGTCTAGGGAAACTCTTAAGCCAAGGGCTCCGTATCACAGCAATGAAAAAAAGTATATATTTATTTAAATGTTTTTTTGATAAATTTAAAGCAGAGTAAAAAAAGATTTCAATATACACGGATTATTAGCAATATTATTTTTGCATTTTAACCTCCTATTTAAAAAGGACAAAAATTTACTAATACTGTATCCTCCGCCCTATCAATAAAAAAAAACATTATCATTATAACTAACCTGACTCAAGGAACTCCCTGAAATCAGGATCGATGCACAGCACTGGGTGTTGTCCCACACGGTTGAGGAAACGCTCGAGGGCCGCACGGCGCCTCTCCACAAACTGTGACTGTACGCTGCCTGTCGCGCTGCTGCCATTAGCGTTTTCAGTTGACGGTGTAGATGTCATTTTCAGTTTTGTTGTACCTGTTGCCATTAGAAGGTAATATATTTAAAGATTTCTTGTTCTCAGGAGATCCACAGTATAGAGGATCTGGCATCTAGTCCTTTGCAACGAGTGCCGGTTAGATACACGTTAAAATGCTCGGTCGCTTCCAACTTGCAAGAAAGCAATCTCAATTCTACTTCATTTGAACGTCCCACCGAAATACTACAGACATTCATAAAAAATATGGTCTTGCGATTATTGCGCAGAGTGGTTCTGAGAAACTCTGAAATCTACGAATACCTAAAGATATCCACGGTAAAGAATGAATTGTATGCAATTAGGAAGGGATTATTAAGACATGCCCATAGGCATGAATTGGCTAAGAACCGTCAGAATTTTATATAATTTGGTTGGTCTACCCCCTTTGATCCTTCAGTTAATCGATGAATCCTCAATGTTATATGAATACTTTCAAAGCCGAACATGCTGCTTTCAGCTCCTAATGCACAGCAAAGACTTGCATTTGGATGCCACTTTTCGGCTAGTTTGTGGCTGTGTTTCTAAACTAGGATTTTTTAATGAATATGTAATCAGGGTCACTCATGAACACTCGTAAACACAATACAGTGTAGACAGTAACAATGTTAAGTAGACTACATTTCTTATGTTTCTAATAGCTATTAAAATAAATTATAGATTAAAAAAAACAAAGAAAAAAACACCTTTGTAGATAGATAGAAGTAGGAAATCATTTTCTAAAGTTCAAAAAGAAAAATCATTTCATTGTAAAAAAGCGTGAGTGCTAGATCTCAATTGGTGTAAAAATATTTTACTGACAGATATTAGTAAAAGTAAAGTTATTACATTATAAAAACCTTGAAAAGTACCCTACGCTTTTTTACGATAAAATGATTTTTCTTTTTGAACTTATAGAAAATTATTTTCTACTTTTAGTTCGTCTAGCTACAAAGCGTGTTTTATTTGCATTGTCATCGGTCCTTGGTAACTGTGCAAAGTTTCAATTTAATTCGACGTTTTGAAGTTTGTCAAAACCACGTTCGAAGGTTCCGGTACATACGAAATAAAAGCGTGTTAAACACTAACAATAAACAACATCTTACCAACTATACTTTTTTCAGGTGCAGGTGGTATGATCCTCCCTGACCGGAGATATTTCTCTGTTAGCTTCTCATGTAGTCCAAGGAAGTCGCTGAATCGCCTTAGCACAGCAAAATCATGTTTGCTGAATATAGGCATGTTGGTCTTGGTGAGCACACGATAGGCGACGTAGGAACTCATGCCTTCACCGATTTTTTGTGGTTCTGTTACGGTTATTATTATATTGTTCGCGCGTTCTGTTGCTATCTGTAAAAGATTATTTAAAATTTAATACCAGCTGCATATATGCAACTTAGGCCCCTGGATGTTTACGTATAAATGTAGTATGTTTACCATTAATTCCAGTCATCATCATCAACAGCCTTTAATCGTCCACTGTTGGACATATGCCACTGTCTAGACGAAGTGGTATAGGGTTTCTTTCAAGTTTTCCTTCTCTTGGCAGTGCTGTTGTCCTGCGTAGTTTGCTCCCTTAGTCGGGTCTTGCGACACCCACGGGATGAACAGGAGTGATGACACTCTGTATTCTAAATCCGTCACTACACGGACAATTCCAGTCAGTAGCGGATAAACTACGGAAACCTAAGCTGGAAGGTTCCCTTTGCAACAAGTAACCAACCATTTTCCAGAATTTTCAAAGTATCTTATAACTGCATAACATAGCAATCTGCTAACTTAGCTGTTTAACTTTTTTTTATTCTTTAAGTTTGGCTTGTTGGGAGGGGAGAACACTTTCGAGACGAACGGACGGACAGATAGACAGACAGACCGACTTAGTAAAACTAAACTAATGTCCTCGTTAGGACTACGGAAACTTAAAAAGCAATGAGTAAAATGAAAATATATTAAATATAATTGTGGCGTAATAAACAAGTACCTGATACTATGTAGGTACGTAATTGCATGTTAAACAGGCTTATCCGTTGTAAATCCACTTGTAGGTATAATATAACGTGAACAATTGTTTGCAATTAGCCATTAGTTACTGCTAATTTGGCTGTGAATATTTTCACATCTCAATGTAAAGTAGAGCTACGAACTTTATACTCTCATGACCCTAAATAAGTAGAATAAAATCTTTCAGCAAAATAATGTCCATACAACAAGAGAGGGCATTGAAATTTTGAATTTATAATCCGGTGTATAAGGTTGAAATACAGAAAACAGAGTAACAAATGAGGTCTTTACACTTTTGTTATCAATGTGTGCGTTTATTTAATTGGTTTTACAGATTATACACACACATATGAAGGTTATTTGTGTCTTTGTGTACATCTGACTTCTTATTGCATTTGTACGATTTCTATAATACAGTCATTTGATTAACGTGAAGCCTACACTGCCTACTTTGACGAGTACAAGCCGTCCCCGCAGTTTTATTTGCTTTTAAAGTCATTGCTACTTACAGTAGTACCTTAATGCCTGTAACGTTTATCAATTAATACCCTATTCCATACAAATGAATGTAAAAGAGGAATGCTTCGTTTGATTAACGTAAAGCCTACACTGTCTACTTTGACGAGTACAAGCCGTCCCCGCAGTTTTATTTGCTTTTAAAGTCATTGCTCCTTACAGTAGCACCTTAATGCCTGTAACCTTCATCAAGTAATACCCTATTCTATACAAATTACCGTGAAAGAGCCAATGGGCGGCTTAACCGGAATGATACTACGACCTTACAGAAAACCGGAGACTCTTGTCCGAGTGAGAATAGAATAGAAAACCAGTTTATTGATTTCAACATTATAGCAGTTCTGTAGAAATATACGGAGAAACTATAATACCGAAAGCAAAAAGTCTAAGCGTCAGCTTATGCTTGGACTTCACATGGATTACCTGACGGGCCTGTTGGTCTAGTGGTTAGTGACCCTGACTGCTAAACCGGAGGTCGTGGGTTCGATTCCCACTCAGGAGAAATAATTGTGATAAGCACGATGATTTGTTCTGTGTCTGGGTGTAATTTGTCTATAATTTGTGTGTATTTAGAAATATGTGAGTATGTTTATCAGTAGTCTGGTTACCATAGTACAGGCTCTGCCTTGTTTTGAATCTGACGGCCGTGTGTAAGATGTGTAAAGGTATTTTTATAACCAAGGGCTGGTTTTCAGCTTAAACCTTTGAGTCCCATTTACCGTTCCCGTGAGTGGCGTTACCGGACCCCAAACACCCCTAATTTTCGAGAGGGACTCAAAGAAAAAGACTCTTGCTCGTTTGTCCCCATATACTATAAAAAAACCAGTGGCACTCAGGGAGTGAAATCTTAATTTTTTTTGACTATAACAGTTTTTTTTTGTTTTTTTTTCGACGAAAAGTTCCGACATGAATATTTATATATATATATATATATATATATATATATATATATATATATATATATATCTATTGTACGTATATACACAACATATGTTTATATTATTTATAGTTATATTATCAATGTATTTCAACCCAAACTCAACTCTCATGTAAACGGGGCCAATATATGTAGAGGTGTCGGTAACGGTAACAGTGTCGCGAGTTTAATAGTTTTTCCCATCTCAAAAAATACATTATGTTTAGACACAAATTATGTTTGTTGTTCAAAAATGCCCAACGCTACTAAAGTAGTATTCACTTTTAAAAAAAGGTATTCAAACTATTTTAGAAATTACTTTCGGATTAAGAACACAAACAAAGAAATGAAATATTAAATTTTATAGCATTATAGATATCGATGAAGGTCAGTTATATCATGGCATGGTAGCCATAACCTTCTCAGACAGGTATATTTGAAATCAGTCAAACGTCTAATGTATATTTAAACTAATTGGTATTTTAGTTGTATTGAATGAGTTCCGTACAAGAGCAATTGTTATTTCCTAATTTTAGGTCATGAATGACACAGGCACAGACACAAATGACGGATCCTCAAAGGAAAATAACTGGTTCTGGGAATCAAGGCTTCTATTAGGTATTCTAATTTTGAAAGGCTCTTGCTTTCCATCGACCTGGTGATACGGCTCGGATTATTTTAGAAGATTATTAAGAAGTCAGAAATGCAATGTAATGAAAATTTATATGTGAGATCTTCTACGCGAAGTGAGTCGCGGGCATCAGCTAGTCTTGTAAAATAAATGTGTTCTTGCGGGGTGATGTCCCTTTTGTGTCCGTTAAAATATAATAATAATGAAATATAATATTTTATTCATTTGACACACAACGCCATCTAGTTTTAAACTAAGCAGAGCTTGTACTATGACAACTAGATTGACTGATAGATTACTTATTTACTTTTTTTTTTGTAAATACATACATATTATGCATAGAAAACACCCAAACTCCAAAACAAATATTTGCAAATTATTGGTTCTTACCGGAAATTGAACCCGAAACCATAGTACAGCATATGCATACGCTACCACTGCACCACCGAAGCATTATAAAAAAATAAAATAATACGGAAAAATACTTTATTTATGGCAATGATTCTTCAACACATCAAACCAAATAGTGTTTGATGATATGCTGTTTTGAAAAGTGATTATTTATGGATAATCCTAAAGTTGGCTAGTGTGGTAAATAGTACAGAGATGTCCAGATATGAGGTAAATATATAGAAATATAATACATATGACTTTGATCTCAATATGCTGAAAAAACATAAGTGTTTGTGTGGTTTTTATAAATATTCCAATATGGTTATTACTTTTTAAAATTTAAATATAAAAAATAAATGCTTTAAGGTAAACATTAACAGATCAATTTTAGCCCAAAACTTGTATGTTACAGGTATTTGTTACTTGGCACCATCGGTAACCTGTAGACATTTATTCCTTAGGCTTAATTTATTGACGGTACCTTAATATATTCTGGGTTGCCCAGATGTAGACGTCAAGCCGAAACCGTTAAATTTCTTTTACTAAGAAGTTTATTTACAGCCAATTGAAACTGTAGCTATGCAAACAGCTGTAAACAGCTGAATTTATTAACAACGGAAGATTCGCCTGTCTGATAACCCAATCTTTTTTAAATCGGTGTCGAGCTTGCATTGCGGCTGAAGGAAGACAATTTAAATATCTGTTGTAAATCTTAGTAAGTAAATAAATGGTTTTGAACAATCTCTTGTGCATAATTTAATAACGTCATTATCTGTCTCGCTCGCAATTCCCGAACGATTCTCCCTGTCTCACTCAAAAATTAGTTCAAAACAAGGTGTCTTGAAAAACAATTGTCCACTATTTAAGAAAAAAATCCAGCAAGTGTAATACTATTTTGGAATCCTTATTAAATGTGCTAACTTTTAAAGTTACTTGCCAAACTTTTTTCCGCACAGTTAGTTAAAGCTGAGCAAAGTATTAATTTTAAATATTTGGTATGGTAAAAAGTGTCATTTTCTTTGAAGCTGGAGCAGCTGGCTTTAAATTTTAGGTCAGAGTATACAGAATCGTTATTTAGGAGTACATAACAAAAAAACAATATAGAAAAGTAAAGTTTTGTAGCAACAGGAGTGAAAATACCGTCACAGGGTAAAGGTTTTCTCGATTTTCTTTAATGTCTATTGTTTTAAATACATGATATATTTTATTTATTTTCATTCTTTATGCACAAGTATGAGTTGTACAATGGCGGACTTAATGCCACATGCCTTTTCTCCCAGTCTACCTTATGGTGGTTCTATAATGTGTGACTAGGTGCACTAGACAATCAGTGGTCTCTTTCTGTGAAGCTGTAATGCTCCAGAAAGAGACCGCTGAACGGGATCGGGAGAGGGCCGATCCTGAGCGCAGAGGACGTCGGCGACTATACCAGCCGCCGACGGGGCCGCGGGCCGCCAGAGAGTGGGGACCTCTGGTCGCTGATTGAATGTTGCGGTAGGGGATAGGATGGCGGCCTGATTGCATTAAGACGAAATTGGGCCGCCACGTCGCGATTGAGGGGGGAAGTGATATTCCCCTGGGATAGGGCCTGACTAGGCATGGTGTCAATTCGGGGAGGACCTGAAATAACATGGTCCGGGTCCTCCCAGAGTAGGGCACCTGAGGCCGGCCGTCGGGGTGGTTTTTAGTGGAATCACCACATACTCCTAGCTCCTAGCCCCGAGGAGCAGGAGATCCGAAGGGATTTTCCACCCCGTCAACAAAAAAAAAAAAAAAAAAAAAAAAAAAAAAAAAAAAAAAAAAAAAAAAAAAAAAAAGGTGCACTAGACAATGATATGTAAAGTAAAAGAAAATTACTGATAAGTTAGACAGAAACAATGCGATAAATATACATACGTATAATATACATACATACGTACCAAATACATAAATACTTACCTAGTTACGTACATAAATAAACCTACATATTATTAATATATTAAACTTTAAGGTTGTAATGAATCTGCTAGGGTGCATCTTGAACGAGAGGCGGCTGGGTGCTATCCTGATTGCTAGAGGGAGAGCGGTCCAGAGGAGTACGGATTGGATTAGAAACGAGGAGTGGACACAAGCGGAAGTATGAGTGGGGCATAGAAGAAGAGGATTGTTTAATGAACGGAGGGTTCTATCGTGGTTGGAGCACAGAAATTGGAATGAACATGTGAGGTAGCAAGGGGGAAATGGGTGAGTTGAGAATGGAATAGAGAGTGGTGAGGGCGCGCAGCTGACGGCGCTGACGAATAGTGAGAAGGCGGTCATATTTATTGAAGATCTGCATTCAGGTCATAATAGCATACATCACCATAATCCAAGATGGGGACGATAAGGGTCTGTACAACAACGCTTTCGAGGAAATTCTTAAGCCGATAAAGGGCCCGTAGCGTACCTGTGACTCTCTGGCTGACGCTCGTGACCTTTGTTTGCCTGCTGAGCTTGGAATCGAAAATTAGTCGTAGTTGGAGTCGATATAGTTTTTTTTTATATTTTTCTGATAACCATTATGACTATATGTATGATGTATTGACGTCGACATCTGGGACTCTGTATGTATATAAGAAATATGCGACTTTGCAAAATCTAACAGTAACTTACTATTTTACCAGAAATATTATAGGTATGTAACTTTAACACATGCTATCCTAGCAGACTTGATCTACCTGTAAGAAGAACTAACCTGTGTAGTCACAATAGTCATGCAACATCTATGGAATTTATAATAATAAATATTAGATAATACTGAAATTATTCAAACGTAAAAGAAGAAACATTTTCATTAGCTGTATGATAATTGTTTACACTTTGTGAAAGACTATTTTAAATTATTGTTCTAGTCTGTGTAATCCTTTTGAAGATAACACCTGTATTTAAAGTAATGAAAATAATTTATGTTTGTATTTATTATATATATTATTAAAAAAAAAGGTAACAAAAGAGATTCAAATTACTGTGTCATTCTTAGCCCATCACAAAAACTAGAAATGAGTCAGGCTTGTATAATTTTCACAATTAACAGAATTAACAATTTAGAATGATTACCTCCTCCATAATTGGGCTGCTTAGTGAAGCGGTGATCGATGGAGCATCACTGATAGTGACCTTGTCAAGACCTTCACGGGCTCCATTCACTTCAGAATCCAAACTAACTTCCTGCAATAAACAATCCTTAGGTGAAACTAATCCTTGTATTTACGAAAATGAATTTAAGGATATTTTGAAATAAAAAACCTTCTGTATTTTGTTCCTATAAAACTCAAAGGAAGGAAACTCTGAAAATATATTGTTCTAAAAATAATAAATGGATATTATACTTTAGTATGTATTTAGCGGGAGGTTGTTGATCGGCACAGGCATATATCATAGATTTTGTATAAGTATAATTTTTATTAAATTTATTTTGCTATTTGACAAAACAGAGATTGTGGCTATTGTGTATGTTTATCTATGACTTTTAGTGTCTCCATAAAAGATGATTTCAAACAATTTTTTTTTTTATCAAGTAAATATATTTTGAGTTTGAGTTCTGATTTGTTTTTTTTTTTAATAAATAGGTATATTTTCAGTAGCAGTATTTTTTCAAAACAAACAGATGTTGTTCAACATCTAAAGTGATAGCAAAATAGAGGCATATTACATTTTTGTATACTGCTCACTGTAGGGTGATGTTTATAAAATGTAAGTATATAACTTAAAACAAAAGTATTTGTGTATTTATTTTTGATAGGACACTCTTATTTAATGGTAGTACAATATCTCATAGTAGTAACTTATATTTTTATCACTATATTTAAAAAGCAATAATGCTCACTTAATATTAGATTTAAGTACCAATATATTTGGTATTTCATGACCAATTATTGTGTTGTCAAGTACTGCCAATACTTATCATATGTATTGCAAAGATAAATATTTCAAGTATCATTAAGCTCATCTATTCCTATGGCCCTCATAATTAGATAATACATAATTTTTTAATAAAGATAACAAAAGTTTGAGATGTGATTTACTAACATACATAGTGACTGTTATAAAAATAAACCATTCAGGTAATACTTAAAGATAGCCATCAGCTGACTAATGCAATGATAAAACAACCACTAGCTTAAAACCTAATTCAACTATCTTTAAATAATAATCAAAGGAATTTTAAGGAAAATTGAACTTTCCTAACAGTAACAATGCTCTGCGATTACTTTTAGCTTTAGCCAAATTAGCGTTGTCTAATTTTTAAAAATAAGAACATTTAATAGTCGATACATTCTTTTCGATAATTAACTGGCATAGGGGCGTCGATAAGACACCCGCTGGGCAACCGGGGGGCGGATGCCGACACAACAACTTATTCAAACAAGATTCCAATAAGATACCTGGACCGCAGACGCGAACAGATCTTCGTCATCCCTGTTATCGTTATTAATATCCACAGTGCTAAAGGGCGGCGTATCTGGACCTTCCGACATTGTTAAAAAATACTAAGATTAAGCACGACCGCAAACAACAAACCGGATAATACACAAGCGCTCAATGATTTTGCCGAAAACAGCGAGATAACTTTCCGGATTCCGATAGGTTTGCTTGACAGGAATGAACAACCCCTTGTGTACTATTATGTTAAAGATAACTGTCAATTTTGAACATGATCAAATATCGTCTGACGTAAATTCGTCTAAGTGTGAAGAAAATAACCACTTTATAATGCTATAGAACTGATTATTTTCGTGATTATGAAACTTTTAAGTCTGTCAGATTTTAGTGACGTATTCAGTTTCTTTTGCGAAGATAGTATTGTGTTTGTTAAAAATCTCATTCAATATTTTGACAAAAAAGTATCACTAAATAGCCTCATATTACTATCACAAGACCGCAGCATTATAATTTTATATGTTATAATCTTTGTTACACTATAAAGTTAGCATAAGGGATATAAAAATAACGCATTTCTTAAACCTGTTCACATTCATGAACAACAAATTAATGTCAGGGCTGTCATGATCAACAAAACATCTGTCAAATAGTAAATGTCCACGAAATTGTTTTGTTGTGAAATTGTTTGAAGGTGAAAACATGTTCTTTATTTGCTTATTGTATCAAAATATTTGCGCTGGCGTTTTCAATTATTTCAACATTTATATAAGATGTATGACGGTACTTGTTTCTCTAGAGTGTTTTAGTTATGACATTTTTCGTAGAGGCAAAAGAAGATGAGCAATCCAGAGAAGAAGACGAAGATTCCGCAGCCGCCTATGCCGGCGGCAAGCACTGGTAATCTGCTTTCGAGCGTAGCACCACCGTCACAATTGCCAAATTTTGTAACAGCCAGTCCAGTAGTTGTTGCTCCAGCTGTTACTGAAGTAGGTATTATTTACGTTCTAAACTGAATTACTTCTCACATTATCCAAACTTAAAGGCTTAGTAGGCATTTAATATTTGCTTTACAGGGTAATTATATTGAGAAAGAAACCATTATTATTAGTTAGCTATCATTCCCTACTGTTTTATTTTTTACGGTCACTCTTTACTCATCAAAATGTTAAGTAATTCGGATTGTAATATGGACTTAAAATTTGGGTTATGAAATGCAAGAAAATAATAAATCTTAATAGGTTCATTCATCAACATTAGCATGTTCAACAAATCAATCAACAAGTTCTTCATCAATCTTGATCAAACTCAAACTTTATTTATTTCATAACATTTCCAAAATTGTTCGAAATCGTCTTCCATGTAGACTCAAGTCATAGATCAACACACACAAAAGCAACAATCTCTGTTTTGTCAAATAGTAACCAAATAAATTTAACAAAAATCAAACCCATACAAAATTTATTATATGCCTGTGCCGATCTACAACCGCCCGTTTCCAAGGGGTTGAGCCTTATGAGAAGAAAGGGCAAACAAACTCATGGCCACTCTTTTGCAATTCACAGGTAGATACAATGGCACTATTAAATATACCACAACATTGTTTTGATGTGTGCTAGTATGTCCATTATTAAGGACTAAAAGGTGAAAAGACAATGAAGAGAAAACAAGATTAAGTTGAATAAAACGAATACAAGAGAAAATGAAGTGAAACATAAAAAATAGAAAAAATAATAGTAATAAAAACCATACTAGCCACACCATATTTTTACTTAAGAAAGAAATAGCCTGCGCTAATTAATCCCAAGCATTCTTGTCCTCCATGTAATCCACAATCGAGTAGTAGGCCCTCTGGCACAAGCCATGTTTTATTGCAGATTTAAATTTGTTAATACTCAACTCCTGAATATTATTTGGGATTTTTTTATAAAATCGGACACATTGACCTCGAAAAGACTTGTTTATATTTTGGAGCCTAGAGGCGGGTACGTTGAGATGTTCTGATACCAACAAAGTATCAGTACCTATTTAAATTATTAGTACTCATATAGCAGAAAGACAGAAAAAGAGAGAAGAGACCATGCGGTGGTCTCTGGATGATTGTATGTACCAGGCAGGCAGGCAATATCCTGCCATAGTTTATCCACTGATTCAATTCAATGCAAGTACTATGGTATTGAAATAAATGCTTATTTAGACCAGTAGTCTAGTCTTAGAAAATATGGGAATGTAACCGCAGCCTCTTCGACCACATTGGCTACTGCAGTCCCTGTTGAATTTCTCCAACCGAGACTTACAAAATTATTGCTGTTTCATCTGAAAATAATTACTTTTTCAAGGACAAATGTTACATATTGTAGCAAAGCAATACAATAAAAGTGGAAATGGGATGGGCAACTTGACCTTCACATTTTGTTATTACTTTTTATTCTAATCTTCTTGTGTTATTAATCTTCTAAATTGTGTTACTAACTGTCAGAAATATTTATGAATAAGGCAACCCACTAAATTCTATGAATATTATAAATGTGAAAGTTTGTGAGGATAGATGTATGAATATTAGTTACTCACTAGCACCAGAATGGCTAAATTAATCTGGATAATGTGTGGTACAGAGATAGATTATTGTCTGAAATAGCATGTGAGCTACTTTTAAACAAGGAAACATTAATCAACAAAATTGACATTCACACAAGCAAAGCCATGGGTAAGGGCTAGCATATGTAAGCTAGTCAATCAAAACATGTTGAATAAGTTGAGCTTTTGGTATGTATTCATAAAAGTTAGCTAAATTGTATCATATTCAATGTGGTTTTTTTATTAAAATCAACATAATACTACACATACACACATTGTACACCCTCAATAGGTATAAACCTTTATGAGTTCTTAATACCCATGGTTAAACAATTTTTTATTCATCATGCATAAAAGCCTATTCACGGCTACAATGATGTATTATGTATATATTAACTAGATTTGCTAAGCAAAAAGATAAAATCGTGTTGGTATTTTAACATCCTCCGTGATTTTATCAAATCACTTAGGGAATTGACCAAATCTTTGTTTTTATCATGTCTTTGCGACAAATATATACACGAGAATTAACGTGATCGTATTTATTGAGTACATACCTTTGAACTTCTAGACGTTTCGACCAATAGCAGGTTGTACACTGTCTAAGGTCAAGGGCTCACTGACACATCAATTTCTTTTCTTGATCTACCCTCACATATGCAAGGTTTTTTTTACGTCATCTACCATCACATCCAAAAACAATTGTGTGCTTCCATCTGATCTCAAGCTTTGTTATAACATCTATACTAATATTATAAAGCTGAAGAGTTTGTTTGTTTGTTTGTTTGTTTGTTTGTTTGAACGCGCTAATCTCAGGAATTACTGGTCCGATTTGAAAAAGTATTTCAGTGTTAGATAGCCCATTTACCGAGGAAGGCTATAGGCTATATATCATCACGCTAAGACCAATAGGAGCGGAGCACCAATGAAGAATGTTTCAAAAACGGAAAAAATTTATTACTATTGAGAGACGCAGACGAAGTTGCGCGGGTTAGCTAGTTTAAAATAAGAAAACCTTTTTATTTTAAAAGACTCCTGCACTAGGAATATATCCAATGTCGCATGGGACTTTACAAACATTTATGAAAAGGAGACAAAGAACACCCAGACTCAGAACAACAATTTGTGGATCACACAAAGTGTTGTCCCATGTGGGGATCGAACCCATAACATCACATCTTTGCTCATTTCAAATTTTCTATCAAGATGTTGACAAAATACAGTCAGGCTGCTACCGGATTTTCCTTTGCCATTTCTTTCTGTTAAATGGCGGTCCATTATAGGTGTTTCAAGACATCTTTTGGTAACTTTAGGCAGATCTAAGGTATATACATCCTAAACATAAGCTATTGTTTTATTCTCATTAACATCTGTAATGCTAATGAGAAAGAAATCTCCATCCAATTAGAGATCCCTGTTATATATATTACATAACTTCACAACATGAAATTGTAGGGTACAGAAGTGTTGGGCTTGGGCTATGTAAATTGTTCGTAATACCATACAGGGTAGCTTTCTGGTTTTTGCTTTTTACCCTACAGGGTAAGGTCGCAAATTGTAGAGAAAAGTTTCTTCAAGGTTTACTAGTTCTCTTTGAAATACTGGTAAAATGGTTTAGTCTGCCACAGTAGTTTTGAAAAAAAATACATGATTTACCCTCTAATACCTCAAATAAACTGTTTAGGTACTATTTTCAGGCTACAGCAGTTGCACCCCATCCTGTACCAATTCCAGTAGCTGTCCCAGTGCAACCAATCATTGTGCAGTCAAGAGATGAGCCAACAGCAGCACAGGCAGATAACTCTGAGAAGTTCAGGTGCTTAAACTAAGTTATTAACCTCGTCCCAAATATTTACTTTAATCTTTAGATCAAGTGAATTAGCTAATATGGTTATAGCTTAAAGAAGAGAAATATGTTCTGCTCATATTTTGATCGATTTTTTTTTATTTACTATGGACTAAATTCGCTTAAATGAATACTCATTTTTTTATTAACGAAAATCCGAATCCATATTAATATTATAAAGAGGTAAAGTTTGTGAGTTTGAATGTTCGTGGGAATCTACTGGTTCGAATTTAAAAATTCTCTTAGTCTTGGATAGCCCTTTAATCGAGGAAAGGTCTGAGAGAAAGTATCTGTGGCATACGTTACGGGTAGTTGGAGCCCTAAAAGTCTGACAACAGTCTTTCTACAGAACTTCGATATCGCCCAGTACTTGGGTTTTTTTTAACGCGGAGCCACTGTTATTAGACCTGTTGAGGTCTAATAGCAGTTCAGTTCAGCTGTATCGTAGTAGACTTAAAGCCGACCCAACCTAGTTTAGGAACAAAAGGCTTTGAGGAAGAATAGTAAGTTATGTTAGTATGAGTAGAATGATTATCAATAAAGATTTAGTACTGTAGTAAGGTGACTGCACGGATGGCGTAGTGGTTTAAGCGGTCGCCACGCAACTTTCTATTACGCCGAGTGTTGTGGGTTCAAACCCCACATGGGACAACACTTTGTGTGATCCACAAATTGTTGTTCTGCGTCTGGGTGTTCTTTTTGTCCGTGTCATGTATGTTTTTAAAGTCCCCGGTGACACAAGATATGTTCATATTTCCTCCTAAATATATTTAATTTGGAATAAATTGACATAAAACAACTGACGTGTCTGTTTCATGTATGTTTGTAAAGTCCCCCGCGACACAGGATTTATTCCTAGTGCGGGAGTTGTCTATCTAATATTTTATTCTAATATTTGTTGCAGCCCAGCAATCCCACTTAGTAAAGGAGAACCAACAGTCTCCATTAGGTCACCAGAGGATTCGCAAACTACACAGTCTCCGGACTCGCTACCTGATTCTTCCCCAGAGATGGATAAAATTGGTATGTTATTTTATTGTCTAGGTCACTCTAGGTGGCACCCACGACTTCGTTCGCGTAGAATTTGAAAAGCGCTGCCTTAGAGGGTTCCATTCTTGGACCGACCAAATTTTTATAGGGTTTTTCTGAAAGGAAAAATAGTCCAAGTTACTCCTTTTATAGACAGCTACTTGGTAGTAAAATATTATCAAAATCGGTCCAGCCGTTTAGAAGATTACCCGAACAAACAGACAAAAAAAACTGGTTTTTAGGCATAGGTATCATGCAAATAACCGTGTGAGCCTGAATAAAACTCATTATTTTGACATTACAAACAGACTCTTCAATTTTATTTATTTGTTGCATTGTTGTTTTTCTTATTTTGTGTGTGTTCGGTTTTGTTTTGGAAATCATCATTTTCTTACAGTTTTCCGACATTGATTTGTTGTTGGTGCAATGATTTTTTTTCTTCCATTGTCCTCTATCCTCATCATCCTCTTTCACGCAGTTCTTAATTTCATTTCACAATTGGGTCTAGTATATATAAGTATATATAGTACAGATATTATTTCTAGTATAGATATTTATTTTTTACACGTTACATTCAAAATTATATAAATCGTAACATTAATTTAAAAAAAATTGCGATCGTTAATCCAACGACTTTAGATAAAACTGGAATTTATATGTAGTTTTTTTTTTCTCAGGTGATATAATACCCGGCAGCGGGCTGTTCACATGGATGAAAGGTGCGGTTGCTACCGGCGGCATTCTACACCGTGTGGCTGAGAAGGCCAAGAGCTCTGTAGATTCAGTCATCACTACACTGGATCCGCAGATGAAAGAGTACCTTAGTGAGTAGTTTACTATTTATTATTATTAAGTATCCTTCTTTAGTTAGTTTTTTTTTCTCGTTTGATTGTAATTAGTTTACTTCTTTTTACACTTCTAGATTACAGTAAATGCTATGTACACCTTAATTGTCATACATATCAGGTATAATGCCACGCATTGTCAAAACTAGTTATAAGTATAATATGTATGATGTGGTAGTACTTATTAATAAATAAATAAATAAATAAAAAGTAGTTAATAGTATTGGTACGTCATAATTTCGGTAGTGATATTCACCAACACTTAATATATTGGTTATGTCCAGAATACTTTTTACACGGTAACTAGACACAATTTAATGTATGTAATATTATTGTAAGTGTGAAATATAAACATTTGAAATTCATTTAGGGTTTGCCCACTCTTGTTGATTTCCTTCGACGGGTTGTTACTCATGTAGTTAGTGATCCTGCTAAGCTGCTAGCTGCTAAGGTCGTGGGCTCGATTCCTATCCAAGAAAGAAAGAAAGAAAAATCGTTTATTTTGGCAGTAATACAACAGTTTGAACAATTGCAACTTGAATTACCAACGATGCCAAAAACGGACCCAATTCTGCCTTATGTCAGATGGAAGCCTGACTCTGGTTTTCAATTGGGCCCAAAATGATGCTATGCGTAAACCCTGTTGCAGATCATTAATGACACATGCAGTACACATTCTATACATACATCACAACATTAATAACATATAACAATAATATATAACAAAACAAATTACAGATATGCAGATCACAATAAAATACACTACGATATACACAATATCCAACAACGTAAATCTATAAATCTCTAAAGTCCCTAAAGCGTGCACGCCCCTCATCCCTGACTCTGACAGCGCTCACGTTAAATCAGGGAAGTGTTCACAGTGGCCATATCCAGTCTCCGCTGTGCGTCTATGAGAGACAGAAGACGAATAATTTTGATGAGCATGATCATTTGTTCTGCGTCTCGATGCAATTTATCCATAATATGTATGTATTTATACATATATAAGCTGTATATCAGCAGTTTATCTCACAAACGGCCATCTGTGACCAAACTATGCAGAGATTGGTCACAGATGGCCGTTTGTGAGATGTGTGAGGTTATTTTTATTTTTCCAAAACTGGTAAGCGGGTTTCAGGAATTTGGGTCCGGGCCGTGCACAGAATCCCCATTTAGTGCATATTTTACAGTCCTTAAAAATATTGTTTCAGAAAGTGGCGGAGACTTGTTGCTCGTAGTTGCGTCTGACAAAGAAGTCAAAATATCACCTATAAGACAAGCATTCCAGACTGTCTTTGGGAAAGCCAATGTTGTGTAAGTTCATTATCATTATCCAAATAAAGACTTCAAAAATTTGTAAACTTGATCACATCACAAATATTTGAGATGGCAATGGCAAGAGTGTCGTTGTTTTAGGTGGCCGTTGTTTGAATTATGATGAATTATTATTATATTCCAGATAGACCGGGCGCCATAGGTAAGTGAGTATACAAAATGTGAGGACCAAATTTTAACAATGCATTTGTCTTAAGAAAAGGTCCAATATTAATAATGTGGATGTTGCCGGTCAATTTTTTGGTCCATTTTTTTACCCCTTCTACTCTTACACAGGCTGACCCTGAGACCCAGAAATCAGAGTATATTTCTTCCGAAGGTTTTTGGTGCGTTGAATCCGAATCTGAAGTCCAAATTACCGAATTGACTCTGGTTTTTTAAATTTCCTAACCTAACCTGCAAAAATAGTTGTTTTTGATCATTTTTGACTTTATGTAGCATCGTTTAATATTTTTTCTCCCAAAAACTGTTAAAGCGGCTTAAAGTTTCTTTAACCTTTCAAATCGTGTTGAGTTTGCTCAGATATTTTTTCTATCTTTTGTTCTTGTATCTTAGTTTAAAAAAATCCTACAAACCATTTGCTTATATAGTATAAGAGAGAATCCAATTTCATAAATCCCAAACGCATAGAACCTAAACCTAACAACCTTAAACCTGACAAACCAAACCACATTATCCACATTATTAATCTTGGACCTTTTCTTAACACAAATCCATTGGTGGATATTGGTCCTCAAATTTTTTATACTCACTTACCTGTAGTGCCTGCACTAAGAGGAGATTTTCTGTTGTGAGTCTGGCACCCTGCCATAGCATAAATCTGCTAAAACGCTTGGCAATGTCCTGTCTGTTCAAATAAAATAGGGAAAAGAGCGGACAGACTATATTGTGATCATGATAAAAAGTGATTGAATTTAATTTGTAGTGGTTACGCGGCCCAAAGTGACGTGACAGCGACACAACCAGTGGGCTATGCGGCCGCCTACGCCGCGGCCAAGCAGCGCATCGCGCACGTGCGCTCCGTGCACGGAGACCTCAACAACAACGTGCCGGTCATAGCCGTCGAGGGGTTCTTGCACGAGTCTGTTACTGACAGGTAAGATTTAGTCCAGAGTTTTTTTTTCAGTTTTTGCAGGATCTTCTGTAGCAACTTCTTTACCCGTGCAACCAGCATTAATGCTGAGCGATGACCAATTTTAATAAGTGACGTGTGATTTTGCTGTTTCCTTTTATTATGATTTGTTATGTTTGTGTATATATTTTCTTTTTTATTACGTTCATAAGTCATACGCCAGCGTCACTTATGATAAAAATGCTTTTTCTTTGTTTCTTTAGCTTTGAAAAAGGATAAACTTTCAAACCTTCACTTTCCATCAGGTGATACGTTAGCTCGTTTATATTTACGTTTCTAACTCCTCCGATTTTCATTGCGAGAAAATTTCGTTGCGAGTTTCAAGACAGTTAAATTTTTTACTCGGACTTCCCGAGTATCATAACGGAGTTTCGAGGGTCACTGCTGTTGATCCTGGTGTACAGGAGTTACAGTGCCCACCACTGTAACTCCTGTGGGAGTCAGTAGTCTCGTTTAAAAAAAACGCCAGCTCGTTGGTCCAGTATACACTAAAGAACCGAAAACCGGAATGTTTTTTATCTACAATATGTATATATATATATATGTGGTTTTTTATTCATAGGTGGTACGATATGTCCTTAATAATTCTTTCGCATCCCTCTCTGGGAATCGAGCTCCAACTGCAGTCGCAAGGAACGCCTGTCCCTTCAGCTGCGGTGGAGGTGGCGCGGTCGGCTACACCCGCTGACTACGCACATGCACAGACAGGGTTCAGTGTCACAATCGGGTCTATTATGGGAGATAGTCTTCAGGTAATACTTTTTTTTGTAGTATAATGTATCTCGGGATCGAAAATGCAAAATATATTTGTATTTTTTTATCACTTTCTCTTAACCACACTACACCAACTCTGAAAATGAAGCTTTGACATACAAGTCTTATATAGACACAAGCTAATTATAAAATATACAAATATAGTTGTAATCTTGAACATAATTTTATAACGCAGAGACCTTTGATGGGTATATCATATTAAAATAGTTCGTTCAGAACATTTACAATGATGATAACCATAGAAGATGGACATTCCACCATAGCATCTCCCGAATATTCTCCTGAGGGCCAAGTGCGAGTTTATTTCACATCTACTCGATCGTCTCTGTGACCGCGATCGGCGCTGTGATTGGCCCGCGTTGAAATCTTTACCAATCGCTGTCGAGAGCGAGGAGACGTGAAACAAACTTGCACTGGACCCTCTGAAATCTCCACCAATCACAACGCTAAACGCGCTCGCCGTCGAGAGCGAGTCGATGTGAAATAAACTTGCACTCGACTCTCTGAACCATCGAATGTCGTGTATTTCTTACTGACTAGTAATAAAAAAGTTTGTAACGAGTAAAGACTCACTAAAAGTAACGGTCGCCATTTTCTTTTGATGTTTGCGATCATTACCAGGCTGACCAACTAAAGTCACTGTTAAACTAGATATTGCCAGAATATATATTATTTCGTGTTTCTTACTTTAACCACTTCCGTGAATATTTATTATTTCGTGTTCTTACTTTAACCACTTCCGTGAATATTTATTATTTCGTGTTCTTACTTTGAAAATGACAAACTTACATACAACCCTTCATCCCTTATTTATCCCTTAGGTGTGAAATTTCCGAAAATCCATTCTTAGTGGGTGTTTACAACAAAAAAAACAAGTTTGTAGCCCCAGCGTCTTAGGCTCTGCGTTGAAGAATCTCTCTGTCTAGACTGCACTGCGCTAAGTATTGTGGGTTCGATCGCCACATAGGAAAACACTTTGTGTGATCTACAAATTATTATTCTGAGTCTGGGTGTTCTTTGTGTCCGTTTCATGTATGACAGTAAAGTCCCCACCACATAATAGTGTGGGATTTGTATATCCACTGGAAAAAAGATGTAAATAGCCACACTATGATTTAGTTTTTAATCTTTTAGGTACCGCACACACAATGGCAAGAGGCATCGACGGGAGTATCTCGGCGGGAACTTTTACTGCTAGCGTGTTTGTCAATCGCAGGCTCATACAGACGGATGCTCGCCATCTCTGCCGCTGAGAGTTAGACAAACTATGAGACTGGACTACGTGTACTATATTTAACAGTAGGTATCTATATTTACATATGTAAATGTTAAGCTGGTTTGCGTACGTTACGTCTAAAACTCTACATCTCTCAAAAAGTTCTACGCTGATTGACCTCAAAGTTTGACATAAATTACAACATGCTTCAAAGATTGTTTTTATCTTTTTTTTTTGCGTCAGTTTTGGTCTTCATTTCCCATCAATGCAACCACCCTGTGCCGCTGCGAAGCGTGGCAGGGTACTGCTAGTATTTTTGTATAAAATTCCTCTGAACCATCATCATGTGATTTAGCTAGCATACAAGACAGCATCCATAAATTAAGTTACACGTTAAAGGGTGGGGGTTCGGGAGTAGTTGGTCGACTGAGTGACAAGGGGGGGGGGGGGGGGGGGGTAGTTGGTCGACTGAGTGTGACAAGAGGTGGGGGGTCCTAAGTAGATACTCTTAATGATACTAATAATACAAAGCTTACACTATTTTAAGATACATACAATAGTAGTTTACTCCTTCTCATTTATACACTGGAACTGCTGTACTTTCATCAACCATGTAGAAGCTTAATTTTGGCAGATTCTTGGACGTTGCTTTGCAGAACTCATCTACCATTTATGTTCTGTATGCAAATAATACTTGAAAAAAAATAAAGTTTACTCTCACAACTAGTGCAATAATTTCGACTGCACGGATGATGTAGTGGTTAAAGCGGTCGCCACGCCGCTTCCTGCTACGCCGAATGTTGTGTGTGTGATCCACAAATTGTTGTTCTGAGTCTGGGTGTTCTTTTTGTCCGTTTCATGTATGTTTGTAAAGTCCCCCGCGACACAGGATATATTCCTATTTCCTCCTAAATATATATAACTTGGAATAAATTGACATAACAGAACTGACATGACTCGAATTAAAATATTCCGTGTGATTACTGTTCAAAAACATTATTCAATAATATATCAAACGTAGATTTATAAATAAAATCAGTGCTTAAAAACCAGTGCTATAGAATATAACGGACATATAAACAACTGATTTATAACATATATCGTGAACACAGTGAAATAATAACTTGACTGCCTATGGATGGTGAATAACAGTAATAGTGAAGCCACCAGTTACAGGGAATAAATGGATAATAATTACGAAAAATTACTACCTAAATCGACTAAATCCCGTTAAGAAGTGACAATGTGCGAATTTTAGTGAACTCTTTGGGAACTATATACAAATACCAGAAGAAAATAACCTAAATCTCAACTAGATGACTAGGCAATTATCAAAAAATTAATTGAAACCAGCGCCATCTGTTGAAACTTGACTGTACTACGTTCTACAGTCAACGAAACTTCATAGATACATTAAATATTACAAACAACACAACAAATACTTCAACGAAAACCAACAGAGAACACCACTTGGAAGAAACAAATAGTTTAAACAAACCATGGAGGACATTATGAATGCACTTCGTCACATTCAAAAAGAGTTGAATGAACAAAAAGTCGCCATACAAAAAAGTGGAGAAAAAGTGACAGAACAGGTAACACAAAATATAAATAACATTATGGAAGAAAAATTTAGAACATTAGAAGAAAAATATAACAACCTCCAAATAAAAGTAGAAAATCAAGAAAAACGTCTTTATTTCTTGGAAAAACAAGCAAGACAAAGAAACATTGTATTCTTCGGAATAGAAGAGAAAGAGATATCATACTCAAACTTGGAAAATAAAACTGGTTAAATTTATCAAAAAATATTTTGATTTAAACATTGAACGAAGAGACATACAAGAAATAAAGAGAATTGGAAAAAAAGGAGAAAGACCTAGACCAATCGTTGTCACTTTTTCTAACCTAGGATTAAAAATCGATATATTTAAACAAAAAATTGCACTGAAAGACACAACATACTACATAAAGGAAGACTATCCGCGGGACATTTTAATTAAAAGAAAAGAATTACAAGAGCAAATAAAGATTGAAAGAGAAAAGGGAAACACTGCCATAATAAAATACGATAAACTTATAATACTAGACAAAAACAGGAACACAGAACACAAGAGAAATCTCTCAATATCACCTGAAAACATTCATATCCAAGGAAATAAAACAAAAAAGAATAAACAACAACAGTCTGGCTCAAAAATTAAGGTGACAAGGTCAAACAGTGTCACCGAAGCAGTTATAAAACCAAGCATGTTGAACTTCCTGACAAATAAAAATACTACGATTAAAAATGCATAGCAACTAACCCCCTCTCTTCTTCACACAGATACCACACAAAAGCAAACTTCAATAAACACCACAAAAAATCTCCCAACCCGGCTGGTCACCGTGGAAGATTACGACCAAAACCCTCCAAAGGTACAAAACCCAAACTCAAATTCAACCTTAAACATTATAACTTACAATGTCAGAACCCTGTCGTCATACGACCGACTATTAGAACTAGAAGAATGTTTGAATAAAATAAACTACGACATCATGGGAATCTCGGAAGTTAGACGACCGGGTAACAAAATAGAAGAACACAATACGTTTATACTTTGTTACACGGGATCTACACCCGGAAAATATGGGGTGGGATTCATAATACACAAGTCACGGAAAAGAATATAGAGAGCTTTATAGGAACAACAGAACGAGTAGCAACTCTCAACATGAATTTTTCAGGTAACAAGATAACAATAATACAAGTATACGCACCTACAGAAGCAGCAAACGAACACGAAATCGACGAATTCTATAAAAACCATAGAAAAGACCTTAGAAACAGCACATACACACACCATTCTAATGGGAGACTTCAATGCAAAAGTTGGACCCCCCAAAGAAAACGAATATCTGGTTATGAAACAATACGGAAATGGAGAAAGAAACAATAGAGGTCAGAGACTTGTTAACTTCGCGCTAGAACATGAGCTAACAATTATAAACACCTGTTTCAAGAAAAAACAAAACCGCAGATGGACTTGGCGGTCACCAAACGGCCAGTACAAAAACGAGATTGATTACATCCTCTCAAATCACCCAAAACTATTCGAAAATATAGAAGTTTTAAATCTAAACTACACATCAGACCACCGTCCTGTTAGGTGTAAAATTAAGCTTACCACGCAGAAGAAAAATAGGTCCAAGTTCACAAATAATAAAATAAGTCAACTCAAAAACAAAGATGAAATAACAAAATACAAAGAAAACTTATCAAGCTTTCTTTTGGAGCCATCAAATCAACCAGTCGACCAAGAGAACAATCCGGTGCAAATCTCCTACGAAAAATAAAAAAGGCCATCCAACAAAGCTTGAGCCTTGCAAAAACAAATATAGAAAACAATAAAAACCATAAAAATACTACAAGAACGCACACTAAAACTATTAAAAAGAAGACAAGAACTACAAAAAACTAAAAATAAAACACGCTCATTGAAAAATGAACTCTCCGCACTTTTTAAACTGGTCAATAAATACATCAAGAGAGACTACGCAAAATATAGACAAGAAACAATAGAGAAAAACCTCCAGCTTTACGGTAGCTCAAAAAGAGCATACAAAGAACTCAGAACAAACCGTTCTTGGATAGAAGAACTGAAAACCCTTAATAGAGACCTCTATAACCGAACGGATATTGTCAGAACAGCAACTAAATTCTACAAGAAACTCTATACAGACAAAAGACGACTAACCACCAATAAACTTGAAATAGAAACAGTAGACTGTCACCCTATACAACCAATCCAAGAAACCGAAGTAATGAACTCAATAAATAAACTGAAATTCGAAAAAGCCCGGGTTCTGACAATGTCACAAACGAATCACTTAAATATGCCCACCAAATTTTAGCAGTACCACTAACTGAGCTGTTTAATTCTATACTTTTAAGTTCTGTAACGCCCATAGAATGGTCAGAAGCAGATATCATACTTATATATAAAAAGGGCGATCCAAAAAATATTAGCAACTATAGACCAATTAGTTTGTTACCAAATATATACAAACTTTTTTTCATCGATTATAAATAGTAGAATAAGCCCGATAATAGAAGCAAAACAACCTGTAGAACAAGCAGGCTTCAGGAAAGGGTACTCTACTATCGACCACATCCACACCATCGAGTTAATTATAGAGAGATATCATGAGTTCCAAAGACCTCTTTACATCACTTTTATTGATTACCAAAAAGCCTTCGATTCGGTCACACATACAAGTATATGGGAAAGTTTAAAAGAACAAGAAGTGCCAAATAAATACATAAATGTGATTAAAAGTATATACAATAACAACAAAGGAAGAATCAGGCTCGAAACCTCAGGCCCCGCCTTCCATATAGAAAGAGGCGTAAGACAAGGGGACCCGCTCTCACCCACTATTTTCATAGCCATCCTCGAAAACATCATTCAAAAGTTGAATTGGAGTAAAACAGGACTCTACATAAAAGGCGCCTACCTAAGTCACCTGAGGTTTGCTGATGACCTGATTCTTCTATCAGAGACAGCCAACGAGATGGAAAACATGATAAAATCTCTACATCAAGCGAGTGCGAAAGTTGGATTGGAAATGAATCTAACGAAGACTAAGACAATGACTAATACACGAATAAGACCTATTACTATTAACGGTAACCCCTTAGAATATGTGGAAAATTATATCTACCTGGGGAAAAGAATAAGTTTCGAGATAAACAGCAACACCATAGAAATAGAGAGAAGGGTTCAACAAACCTGGAATAAATACTGGAGCTTAAAAGAAATATTTAAAAATAACCTACCAATAACTCTCAAAGCTAAAGTTATGAACTCATGTCTACTACCAAGCTTAACTTATGGAAGCCAGACCTGGAAATTCTCTACACAAGTTATCAACAAAATTAATACATGTCAAAGAGGTTTAGAGCGAAGTATGCTAAACATAAAGAGAATGGACAAAATAAGACACACAAAGATAAGAGACATCACTAAAGTCACAAACGCTTTGACCTTTGCTCTAAAAATGA